TTTTCATTCGGAGCAAAAGCAGAGTTCTTACTTCGAAATGTATTTACTATTATTTAGAATCATGTTTGGTAAAGTTACATTTCTTACGTTAAAAAAATAAATAAATAAATTTGACAACGCGTTTAGTAAAATTTATTATTCAAATCGCAACCAACGCTGATGAATGTGCTTCCCTTTGTTGCTTTGCTACAGTATTTTTACCTTGAAGGTGATTTGTTAACGTCTCCCAACGTCCAACACTGACTAACCCTAAGTTCAAGAAGAAAAAACACAATTTGAGCCCAAAATACAAGGCAAAAGCATTGTCAACACATGATGGTGAGAGAAGAATACGAGTTGGTTTGATTCAAACCCATGGCTTTTTCCATGTAGCTTTCTGTCTATATTTATAGTACAGATGTATTAAAGAAAATGGTAAATTACACGTTGATAGATCGATTGAACTTCATTATTTTGATCTATCGAAAAGTATGAAATATCTTTTGTATCTTTATTTAATTTAATTAAAAAAACATGTCAAACTAAAAGACTTATATTACTTTTTAATTTTTCCCCCATCTTATAAATACTATATTACCTTACCTATTTTTATTTTTTGTTTTGAAAAAAAATAAAATAAAAAATAACCCTAATCAAACCCTTAAAAGGATCCAAATCAAATGTCATTAAACAAAAATAAAATAAAATTGCTTTTGTAAAATTTAATAATATAAAAATTAATACGGGTATTCATGATATCATTTCATGTCAAAATATAAGGTTATTGATGTATTTTAACATAAGAAAACGAAAACTTAATTATTTTTTAATTTTTTATTAACAGCAAAGAGTGTTAGTAAACGTGTCAAATCTCAAGGGAAGTTGAAGTAATAAATGTCAAATGATAGCTAAAGAAAATGTCCCAACCTTAGTGCAATTAATCCTAAAGAAAATGATAGCTCATCTAAAATTTGTATTGAATATGGTAAGCAAGTTTCCTATGTTGCTTTAAAAGGTGTGGACCCATAGCTAATTCAATATGGTAGTAATGTGACATCATTGTACCATATATATATATATATATATATATTGATGATGGGCACAAATACAATTTTTAGATGGAGTATCTGAATTTAATTATTTATTTAGATTTTTACATTGGTAAGAAACAAATTTATTTTACTCATATTCGGGCTCGCACCCTTTCTAATGATGAAGTTATACCATTGGCCTACATGTCCGTTGGTAGTATCATAATTTTTCATTATCAGAGAGAATCATGATCTTACATTAGAGTTTGAAATGTTAAAACCAAGGATATAGAAATCTATTTATCCCCTTTTAAAGAGAAGACAATTGTCTCATGTCATATCGGTTGGGGAAAAAAATAATTTCCACGCCTTGTTGTCTATTTGTCACCCAGATTTTTGTATAGTTTTTTAATTTTTAATTATGCTAAAATAGAAAGTTGTTTTTAGAAAACTAAATCAAGCAGTCCTAAATTTTCATAAATATATATCAAGTGGAGTTTTGTGTAAAAATCTGATAGTCCAATGAGATTTTATGCAATTTATTAAGGGGCATCATCGTCATTATAATATCACTCTTTGACATTGGTCTCAAAGCTGCAAGAATTAGATAATCCAAGAGAATTTTAGCTCAAAATATTAACCAAATGGAAGTTTTGTGCCATTTTCAGATGGTCAAGTGAGGTTTTTTTCGTTTTTTGCTCTACTTTTACAACATTTTCTAAATTTACATAAATTTAGTTATTGTTCGATAAAATTGAAAATTAAGTATTGAAAATTTAAGAGCTAAATTTTAAGTACTAAAGTTCTTAAGTAGTAATTAAAAAATAAATATTTATTATTTTTTAAAAATTTTTAACTTTTAATTTTTAGTGATAAGTGATGTTTTTGTCACTTACAATTTTATTTAATTTTAAGTGACACTTATCATTTTAAATAATATTTAAAATATATATAAAATTAAACGTTAGATTAAGGAATCAAACACCACCCTTAAGAGTTCATACCACGCCTTTCTTGAGGATGGCTTCAATTCAAGCCTCCAACAAGGAAATGCCCGCCCTAAGAATCAAACCAAACTTTTTTTCAAATACATTGAATTCACTTGGATAAGCATGGAACATAGTCTTGTCAATTTTCATCCCTTGTGCATTAAAAACAACACAAATAAAGGGCCCCTACAAAAAAGTTCATGACACTGAGTCCCATCCCTACCCTAAGAAATATCAATCAATTTCCAAACATCATAGGTCAAAAAAAAAAAAAACACACATTTTTAAAGTGTGATCTTTTATTTGTCATTTTCAGAAAAGATTTTGTATTTGTCTTTCGATGCTGTGTGTGAGAATTGGTGTGACCTTGTTTTATTTTACGCAGTGCTAAAACACTTCGTGAACAGTGGCCTAAAATCAAAACACCAAAAAATTGTTTTTTCTTATTTTGATAACTGTTCATGGCTCAAAATCATATTTTGTATGCTTTTGTTTCCGACATTTTCACAATAAAACATTGTTCCCAAACGTACTTTCGATTTTTTTTTCTAAAACACTCCTATAGGAAAAATATTGTTTCTGTTTTACTCAAAAATAAAGCGCATGCCAAACGGGCCCTAATAGTATTTGTTTGTTTTTTTTTTTTCTCGGGTGATAGATATATGGAATTTTTTATTAAACAAATGAGATTAAATAACAAAATACATGACATTCAACAATTACAATATTTATTGCATAGCTTTTTTAAATATTGTACCATAGAAGTAAAGAATCGACCACTTTGATTATTTATTTATTTATTTTTCGCTAATCTTCTTTTGTATTCCTTCAATAACCCGGACAAAAATAATATACATATAATTTTATAAAAATTACATTTTTCCTTTTGACCACAATTAATTCTACATTTTTTTACAAAATAAATGGCTACAAATGCCAATAAATTAGATTAGTGATTTTTATTTACCACCGCCGTGAAGCATGCAACCAATACATATGTATAATGTGTGTGTGTGTATGTATATGTTCATAACTTCATAGATGCAAACATATTTTGTCATCAATGAACAGAAGTCTCTGTCAAGACTTCTCGTTTGGATGTCATGACATCGGTTCACTTGAGATATTTCAACAAGGTTGGTATATCTTTGAAGATGAGGTCAAGACATTAAAGAACATGGAAAAAGAGGTGGCTTCAAAATGTTCTCTAATAATTAATATTCACGTACTTATCCGATAATTGATTTTCTTTTTTCTTTTTCTTTTTTTTTAAAAAAAAAAAAAAATTGAGAAACTACCGAAAACTCATAAAACAATTCTTTATGGACATAAAACAATTCTTTATTTTTAAGAGAAATGTAACTAAACTAAAACTAATTTTGTGCAGTTTTTTGATTGCAAGTTTTCTAAAAATAAAAAAATAAAAAATATCTCGAAAAAATGAACCCCTGTAAGTTGTAGGTATTAGCCATGTTACATGCATTAGTTTATATACCACTTTGAAGTGCACAAAATGCATTCGTTTATTTTAAATTATGTTCTTATTGACCAAATAAACCGTCCAAATTAATAGGTCAACTATTTAGGGTGACACAAGTTATTAAAGGGTTGGATGCAGCTATTGAATAGTGTTGCATTCTCGGATCCAATATGGGTATATACCTTTAAAACTAGTTGTCACAAGAAAGTCTTGTCTCAAATTTGGATGAAAAAGTAATAAAAAAGTGATTGGATGTATATGAATTCGATGCTAATACCACCTAATAATTTATGTTTTTGAGTCGAACCTAAAAACACCTTACCCATTACAGCTTAATACAGACACACACCTGTATATATATTGTTCGTGTTGATGTATCATATATGTGAAGACTAGTGCCAAGTGCTAACATAAGATCTAAAAAGGTAAAATGAAGCAAAGATTCCATTCTTATAATAATTATAGTAAAATATATATTGATGGTACAAAGCATGCTGTCACTTATTACACTAGTCTTAAAATAATACTTGTGCTGAAATGATCACCTACCTACAATTATTTTAAAACTAACTAGCTGGATCAATTGCTTTGGTCATTGAAACTGAAAACACTTATTACAATATTCTTAAAATAATACATGTTGAAATGATGTGAAAAATATTTTACAAAGACAAATTTTTAATTAATAAAAAAATGGATAACAAGGGGAAAAAAAAAGTACTTGTCATTTGAAAAAGAAAGTCCTCATAGAAAATATCACTCCATTTCATACACCACTAAATGCGTTGGGTAGGTTTAAGGCATGATGGAAGGAAAGTCCTCATCCTCTTCAGTAATTACGGTGTGCATTATAACATTTTTAAATACTAATGAACAAATACCGTTGAGTCTAAAATATGCTCTCTGTTCATAAATCATCTAAGTATATTGAAATTTGATTCATAAATCAGTAACATTTTTTTAAAATGGAGAGATAGAGAAAGTAATATATAATTACATTGAAATTAGATTCATAAAACAGTAGCTACTTTCTCAATGTAACAGTGCTGTGTAGTAGTCGAGTCGACTCTAAGTGTGAACCAAATCTACGGTTCATTCATGTGAAGAATAGTGACCATCCGCTAAATATAAGATAAGATGCTGGGTGTGCAAGAAGAACACTTGAATACTATTTTTCTTAAAAAGCATCTCCACCAAACCCACAATGTCAATCAATCAATCAATCTCCAGAAACCAAACCCACAACAAAAGAATCAAAAACACAAGATCAAAACCCAAGAACATCTTCCTCATTCTATTTTCTTTTAACAACTACCATCCTTCCGTACTATCATGCTTGATTAATTATGATTCTAATAACAAAATGCCAAATAATTTCTACAGAGAGAAAATTAATGCTTTCTTTCCCAACGTTTCAGAAACAGAGAATTGTCGTTAAACCTCATGACCGACCAATTAACTTCCAGAGAGAGAAAATCGAGATTCTAGAGAGAGAGAAAAACCTCCCTCAGGAGACATTGCTAAGATTAAGCTATTATTATTATTATTATTATCTACAACCACCAATCCCCATAAAAACAGGGTTGACCCAGATCACATCAAAATGCTAAAAAGCAAAAATCGATGGCCGTTAATACAGGAAAAAAAATCATACCGCCGGCGATCGACATTTTTTTCAAACGTCGTCGTCTTCACACTTGGAACATGCCCGAACTCGACTCTGATGATGACTATGACTATGATTCATCTTCGAAGAAATCGCTGGTTTCCTAGACGACGCCGTGTCCACGAAGGTCGCCGAAGACATCTCCATTTGCAGAACCCTAACCGCGCCGAATAATCTCTCCGGCAGCTCCTCCTCCGTCTGCGCCTCCACCACAAACCCCATGTCGATCGTCACCGCCGTCACGTACCCCAACGCCAAACGCAAGATCGCATTCGCGATCGCTGAGCTCCCAATGTCGACGTCGATTTCGAGGTAATTCGAACCTATGTGATAGTTACAGGTTAGGGCTTTCCCGAGCAAGCACGCCGAGTAGTTACCGACTGCAGTTTTCACGATCCACGGACCCTTCACGATCCGGTTCACGATCTTGAACCGCTGATTCCGGAACGCGTCGTCGCCTTCGATAAACCGCCGGAGGAGAGAACCGGTGGGGATCGGATCATCGGTGGAGAAGTAGAACACCGCGCTGTGGTGGTCCCTGCCGGGGATTTGGAGGTTGACGGCGACGACGAAGGTCTTCAGGTACTTGCCCTGCGATTGACCCTTTTTGAGCGCGTGCATTACACGGTTATCGGGTCTGGCGAGGACGTTGTCGAGCTTGGTCGCCGATCGAAGCCAGTCGACGCCGGCGGGCTGCAGGAGCCACGCGCCGGAGGGGGACTTTTGCTTTTTGGAGAAGTAGTTTTGGGAACGGAGAGAGAAAACGTCGCCGGGAGGTGAAGCCCAGCCGTTGGATCCGGTGTGGAGGTCGACGTGTCTGAGAGATCCGCCGCTGATTGCTTCGTCCCTCCAGTCGGTGGTGGTGTCGGCGCCGGAGGCTTGTTCGGTCACGGAACTCCGATCCTTTGGCTTTTTCTGTTTCTGTTTCGTCGGGCACATTTTATCTCTCCTCTTTCTCTCTCTAGGATTCCGTCTCTCCCTCTGTCTCTCTCTGTGAAAAAGAGGGTGTTTAAGTTAGAAGCTCCGCCACGAGGAGCAGCTCTCTGTCACACTATGATATGGTATGGTATTATAAGAATAAAAAAAAAGGTTACCCTTGTCTTTCGAGGAAACTACGAGACTGCCCTTTTTCGTTTCTCTCTCAGGAGAAAGGTCGAGAACCCTTTCTTTTTTAAGTAAATTATTATAATAATAAAGATAAAGAAAGTAAAAAGGGAACATTATTATTATTAAAAAAAAAAAAAGTGAAAAAGGAATATTGACTTTATTTGACTCAAAAGTATTTCTTCATCGATGAAGTCTTTTCTTTTGTGATACCCAAAAATATTTTGTTTGGTTTAATTTTCTAAAATTTGTTTTATGAAAATTTAATTATAAAAATGTTTGTTTTCATATAACTCTTTTTTATTGTTATCTAAAAACTGTTTTCTATTATCTAAATTTTTTAGAATTGTTTTCAGAATTACAAACCAAGTATGTTATTTTTTGAGAATTTTTTTTTATAATTCTCTAAAAATATTTTTCTATTTTGTGAGCTTTTAAAAATTATTTTCTAAGTGACCAACTAATTAGACCAAATTTTCACCATATAATTTTTAATTTTTATTACTTTATCTCGAAAAAGATCAACATTTCTTATTATATAATTTTAGTGACCAAACTTAAATAAAACTATTATAGAATGGCCATAAAGTTACGAAAAGATTAATAGTAACTAAATTTAAAATTTAATTACTATTATATAGTCAAGGAAATGTTATGAAATAATTTGGTGGTTATTTTAGTACTTAACAAATTTTTGTAACATAAGTGTGATGGTGTTACCCGAGTAGTAAAAGGGTTATGATAAAAAGGTTAGGCCTTAAGTGCCCACCACCCTAATATGCTCCGAGGTTTGAATCTCCTTTCTCTTTCTCCAGTAACATACTACTAATTCTCCAATCATTACAAGGTCAAAAATAAATAAAATTAAAATAATTTTTTCCCAAATATCTTTGAAAATATTTTGGAAAAACTAGTTCCCAAAATCATATTCTACAAATTATTTTTAGTTGACCTCAACCTACATTAACTTAATGTTTGACAATTCCATATTTATCAAATTAAAACTCTTTGATATTTGAATTCTAATTTTCATTACCGAAAGCTTAAGTTAAAATTTGGCATTACTACTCCTTAATGTTTTGTGCTTCAAAATGTCTAATACAATAACAATCAATTACCACGAGGGCACTAGTTTCATGGTACTTTCTAACCTTTCAAAGTGAAAGATTAATGATTCAAGTTATTCTCGTAGAGACAAAATGAATGTGTAAATGTATAAAAGAAAGTAAAAAATCCAACCAAAGTATTATTTGGGCAGGGTAATTTGCTTTTTTCTAAAGCTTCAAACCAACCCATGACACAATCTATAAATTCGAAAGCAAGATAAGGTTGCTTTCATGTGTTTTGGCTTCAAGACTTAAAAACACAAATGAAGCAAAGGAGCATGTATTGTGCACAAAAAGGAAAAGTATGTTTGAGCAGCAACACTGCAACAAGGCACAAATAGCTTGTGGGGTCCATTAGAATTAGAAACAACACATTATTACGTAAGCGATGTAAGATAATTGTTGCATAAACGATAAGCTATATAAAATGTTACATTAGCCCACAAAAGGATCAAGGTTCGGCCCACTAATAACATGACTCCCACTAAAAATAGCAGGGTTCTTGTCAAACTTACTCTCTTGCCACCAAAGGGCCTCTAGCTCACCGGAACAATTAAGAGTTCAAATCCTTACAAGAGAATTGTGAGTGTATCTTATTTTTTTAAGAATATATTTGGCTGCATATAATTGTTGTCATTTAATTAGAATTATTAGAATTGAAGAAAATTTTAATTCAACTTTTTATGATTTTATTTATTTATTTCGATATAACAAAATATTGTATTAAAAAGCAATTTTGTATTCCTTGATTAGTTTTAGAAAATAGTTACCAAAACAAGGAATCAATTTCGACGAAGTTTTGGAATTTTATTATTAGGGTTTCACAATGACAACAGATACTCTTTGTTTCCTTTTTTTTTTTTTAATTTTTTTTTAATACATGGTGGTTGAATGCCAAGTTGTCCACTACAAAAGAGCCAAAGGAAAACAAATTATTATTTTTAGGTTGGGGTTGAATAAGAAATGTTTATGGTGTTGAAAACTCAGTGTGACTTCCAAACAAGAGAAGCAACTGATCCCAATGTGGATCCACTTGCAGGGAGCTTTAGTTCTTGTGAAGTATAATAGTGAGATTTCATAAAAGTGGTTGAAATGGTTAAAGTTTGATTTCAAATGAATGCATCAAATATAATTGTAAAATGAAAAAAAGTGAAAACTCCACTTGAGTAAAGTTTAAGAATCTTAATTAATAAATTTCTCGATTTTAAAAATTTTATTTTAGTTTGGTTGAATTAAGTAAAATAATTACATATGTATTGAAAATCATAAACCACGTTGCTATTTAGGACTCCTAAAGCTCTGTTTGGTAATATATATATATAATGGCAACAAAATCCGTTTGGTAACTTTATATTGACTTTTCACATTTCAAAATTTTTGAAAACCCAACTCCAAAATTAAGATCTGGTTTTCAATTTTGAATTTTAAATACTATTATTTATTATTTCACAATTAGAGAAGTGTTATTTTATTATTTTTTAATTATATTTGAATAGTAAATAAAATTAAGAAATTATTTTATTATACTCGATTAGTAAAATTAAAAATGCTATTTTATTATTTTTCAATTATTATTTTATTATTTTCAATTATACTTGAATAGTAAAATTTAAAATGTTATTTATTATTGTATTAATTTTCAATTATACTCAAATAGTAAAATAAAATTTATTTTATTAATTTTCAATTATACTCAAATGGTAAAATCAAAAAAATGTTATTTTATTAATTTTTAATTATACTCAAATAGTAAATAAAATATTATTTTATTATTTTTCAATTATACTTGTAAATAAAAGAGTCAATTTTTATTAAGAAAATTACAAAATATATTTTTTCTTTTCTCTTTTAAAAAATTCAAATTTACAGTTATCAAACTATTTTGGTTTTGACAAGAATAACTGCACGGTTTTGAAAACTATTCAAAACGTGCCATTTTCACATAAATGAAAGCAAAGCTAAAAATAAAAACCACCGTGCTACCAAACAGGCCCTAACCCTACCTAAGTGTAATTTTTTCAATAATTTATTATGTGAACATCCAAGAATGAGTGAATAATAATAATAATAATAATAGAGTGGGATTTGGTATTTCTATTTTGTCATTAAACAAATATGAATCTGTGTTTTTATTATACATTACCGCATGTTATACATTTATTTTTTTATCAAGATGATATTTAAAATAAGAATCTAAATTATGAAGATCGGGATATATGCACGTGTATAGTGAAAATCGGTTAATTAAGATTTCCCCGATTTTAATTGAAAATGCTTTTATTTATTAATGAGATAAATTATGAAGAACGGAATATATGTATGTGTATAGTGAAAATCGGTAAATTAATTTTTTTTCAATTTTAATTGAAAAATGCCGATTCGGTGAATGCAATATCAAAATTAATGTAAGTAGATTATATAGAATAAATGATACTCATCTAGGATGTTTAATGCTTAGGCTAATAAATAAATTTCATAAAATGTATGGTAGAGCATATATATTGTTTAATCAACTTCCCTTTGGAGTCATTTCCGGTAAGTTTGGCAAATCTTTGGAAAAACTATGCTCAGGTAGAGTTAATGATATTAAATAACAAAGTGGTATGTTTATGCTCCTGCTGGCAGCAATTGGGTGTGGGTTCGATTTTCCTTCAATTTTATTAGTTTTTGACTTAAAATACTACTTATACCGTGAGATCGGGATGAGTAGCCGAAAGTTTACCTAATACCTATAAATTCAAAAGACAAGTAATTGCGAAAGTTCTCAGGTCATTTTAAAATAATAATAATAATAATAATAATAATAATAAATGATATGTTTCTCAATACAGTTATTTTGCTTAATTCAACCAAAGTTAATTTGTTGGATGCATTCACGTGGGACTCTCGTGGGTACGCATAAAAGTACCAAATCAAACATTCCGTCGGCCTGTGTTTTGACTATTTGGTTCACTCTTGGAATCATTTCCCTTTTTCAAATCATGAATCATTTTTCTTTTTAAAATTAATTTTTCAAAAAATAATCAAGTAATTACGAAGGGTAAAAAAAATCTCTAAAGTCAAGTCACACCACTGAAATATGTCGTCAATTATATATATATATATATATATATATATATGTATATATTTTTGACACTTTCTATCATTTTCCCCACATAATATTCCCACTTTCCACGTGGTTGACAGACATGTGCTTCAAGATTTGGGCATTTTAATAATATTTCGTATTATTATTATTATTACCTAGGGTTGGACTTATTTTATAAGTGTCCAAGAAAATTAAAAATAAAAAATTATAAAAAAAATTATACTTAATTCAGTTTTTTAAAAATTCAATTATAAAAAATTTATTTTTAGATGATTGTCTTTTATTATTTTTTGTTATTTGAATTCTTGAGAATTATTTTTAAAATTACAAACTAAACATGTCTTAAAACTCTCACTTTTATTTTTTATTTTTTTGATAATATACACTTTTATATATATATATATATATATATATATATATATATATATGCCTAATGTGGATGGACACTGAGAGAGAGAACTTTAATTAGGCTTTGTACTTTAACCATTTCTGAGAAGAATACACTTGGCCCATTAAAAATATCTTATACTTAAATGGTGGTTTCTATTATTTTAAGCATGACTGTGTTGTCATCTCCACTGCTGCAAGTTCATAAATAGATCATTCGAACAATAATAGCTCACTATTATATAGTTATCACAAGGCAAAAACAATTGAATAAGCATAAAAATTATTGGGTTTAACAAATTATTTGGGTCATTATTTGATGATGCATGTTTTAATACTGGAGCAATTAGTTGTATAAAATAAATAAATATAGAGTTTGCTTGGTTTGGTTTATTGAGAATAGAATTTTGTTTTCTGATATCTAAAACTAATAAAACTAAAAAATAAAAAAAAATTGTTTGATTGATAGTTTATAAAAAGTGTTTTCAGAAAATCTAGGTTAAAAAGTAAATAATTTTTTATTTTTTGAATTCTTGATATCTTTTTTTAAAGAACCGAACCCACCAAGCAAACAATGTTTGTCCCTATATGCTACAATTGTAGGGATTCGCCCCCACCACAAAAGCCAAAATTCTCACGTATGAAAGATGAAAGTCAAATGTTATAAAAGGGTAATTTTGAAATTATAAAAATATTACTTATTCACTATTATATTTTTTTAAATCTTTTTATTTTTGAAATGGAAGAGTACTAAACACAACACAGTCGGGCATAGCGACTGTGCATTCACAGTTGCATATTTGATTGGTTAAAAAATAAATTGTAATTAAGGTCTCTTTCCCATTTTTTCAGAATTATAAAACTTCAACTTTAAGACCAAATTACCCTTTTAAATTATTTCTTTCTTACTTTATACTTAATAACCATCCTTCTTTCCTTTGGTACATATATTTAACTTTATTTTTTTTTCTTTATTTTTAACAATTGTCTCCTTTTTTTTCTTTTTTTTTTTTTCTTTCTTTCCTTGTAGGATATATATGGTTATACTTCATTCTTTACTTTCTTTCTTTTTTCGTTCACTTGTCTTTTATATATATATATATATGTTCCACCTTGATGGATTTTTTGTAATTTAATTGAATAACGGTATGAGATTGAGTTTTAATTAAAGTAATATTATAAAATTTGAGTTTTAGTTAATATATGAGATAATTTCCCAATCTATTCACAGTATTTAAAAAAAAAAAAAGGAAATAAACAATCAATTCACATAAATTTATAAAAAAAAATTTCTCTCTTTATCTAAAGAGGAGGGAGAAACAGTAAGAAACCATTCACACACACACACACACACATATATATATATATATATATATATATATATATATATAGTTAAAAATAGGTGAAAAGAGAAAGAAAAAAAATAATAAAGTAGGTAAGCAAAGAAAAAAAAGAAGGTTATACACATACAAGTAGGATAGAAATATATATATATATATATATATATATATATATATATATATATATATATAAGGATATATAAGGATAATTTGGTCTTAAAAGTTAAAGTGTTATAGTTTCAAAAAAATAGATAAGAGGCATTAATTACAATTTCTATAATTGGGTTTTTCAACCAACTCCAAATCTCTCACAATTATTTCTTTTATCTCCACTAAAAGTTATCCAAACACGATTTCTACTATTCATTTTTTCTTTTATTTTCTTTTCAAATCCTTCCTAATTACTCAATCCAAATGAAGCCTCAAAGTCTCACCGACTCACATGTTCTTTTATATATTTTTGTATCAAATTTTTTACACATGTAATACAATGAAAGTGCATAGAGGAAATCTCAAGTCCGGTACAAAATAATACCAGTAACTGAACTTTAGGTGAGGTGATATGGATGTTGTAGGGCAAATGTAATGTCCAACGCAAAGGGCCAACTTGGCCTAGAAAGTTCCAGCAAAATCACCCAAAAAACCAAAAAAAATTATGCCAACAAAAATTAGATTAGTATTTTATTAAGAGTAATGAAAGTTGCTCAACAATCCGACACATTCAATTAATATATTATAATTTTCGAACTCCAAAATATGTTTGTTTGACTCATATTAATAAAGATTTCGTTTAAAATAAGATACTAATATATCTATAAAATAAGTACAATTTTTCTTCTACGCGATACAATATATATTAGGAATTATGTCACAAATTCTAAACTATGAATCGAATCAATTTACTATACTTTAAAGCGAAGTCACACTATTGAATTTTTAAAACCAAAGTAAACTTTAAATGATCTTGGATTGTTACAAATCGGATCAACGGATTGTGTGTGTATATTAATTGAGCATGGTCACTTTTCATTCTTTTCTGTGACATCACTGAGTGTGGATGAAGGAGAGAGATTGCTGAGTGGTCCAGGGGCATTCCTGCATACCTTTTTATGCGTGCTATTTATATATTGCGCTCCAATGAATACAAATCCATTTTCTTCAAGTCCCTTTTATTAGTGGTGCAACCACTTTGACTTTTTAGGGCATTTGCAGCCATTGATCTACGTCGATAGCTATTCTGATCGTCACATCTAATGGAATAGAGTAGCACGATCGAGAGAAACTTGACAAGAGTAGGGGCGAACATGGTGTGATTGGATATGATTCTAAAGTTAAATTGGAACCGAAATGATCTGCTTAGAACTGGAACTGAATCGTAAAAAATCAAATCCCAGTTCATAGTTTACTGAAACCGAAATGATTTGCTTGGAACTCGAACTGTCCCGTAAAAAATCAAATCTAAGTTCGTAGTTTACCGGTTCAAACCGGTTTTTTTACACGGCTCTCTGATTGAGAGTTTTTGAAATATGTTAAGAGTTTGAACAAAATATTTCAATTCAATGGTTAATAAGTGGACATCTTTTGATACTATTACTAAATAGAATTGTTAAGCCGAATCATAAAAAATGGGTTCGTTTCATACAAGTTTACTTTGTGCATTTCTAAACAAAAACATGAGCTCTTTGATTGAAAGTTTTCGAAATATTCAATTCATCGATTAATAAGTGACATTACTACATGCATGTTTTGATGGCATTACTATATAGGATGTTTTTATAAACGTGTAATTGGAAAAATGGTCCAAAATTCAGGACCCGTGTATTGATATTTAGTGTGTTGAACTTGTCATTGAACAATAGCAATGAGAAGGAACGCATCTAAAATGTGTAAGTACCACCAAGGATTCTATTTTTAGTGGGAATCTCTCTAAATATGCAATTTGGTGGGTGTAATTTGAAGTGGTGGTGGTGGTGGTGACCTTGATAATAATAATGTCTCATGTTTAAAATTCGTGACCATATAAAGGGCTATTAGACGTTAAGATTGTCAACTATGTGTATGTCACACAACGATAATAAGAGTGGGAATGAAAACGAGGGCAGAATCAGCGTGTAAAAACAGTAAAACTGCAAAAAAAAAAAAAAAAAACTGAAAACGTTTTCTAATCAAGAACTTGTAGACACTTATATGTTGGCTAAATATAACCTAAACCGTTCAATGTTGTAGGACACGAATTTTTCTCCAACCAAAGAGAGATCATCGTCTTCAGTGAAAGGAGGATCAACCCAACAATAAACTTCGTCTAGTTGATTTCAACCGTTTCCAGTGCACCTCAAAATGAGAGGACTTGGGTTGCAAGCAAAAGACACTTATTACTCGTATTGAAAGAATAAGGTAATCCCCCCTTTGTTGCTACATGCAATCTGGAGGTTTTATATGAACAACCTTCGCTAGCAAATGGAAAATTTAATCTTAATCCGGTCGATTTACATGTCTTTATAATACATGCAAGCTATACTTGATAGAGAGTTGCATTTATTTATTTGCACATCCTAACCATAAAAGTAGTTTCTCAAATAAATACTCCGAAATGAATCTATTGCAATGAACAACTCTCTTCTTTTCTTTTTCTTTCTTTCTTGAATTTATCAATCACCATCTCAAAACGGAAAATGATATTCAGGCTTACTTCTCAAAGTCAAAGAATTAAGGCCATTAATGGCAGAAAGTGGGATCTTGCCATCAATGATCTTAATTGTTTCACTTTGAAAGGTTCGCTTTAACAAGTAGGGCTGAATATCATCACTCTATCTTGAGTGCTATTAATTCTTAGATGGACGAAATCCAGGCACAAAATCAACTCACTCAACTGTATGTGCAAAAGTCATACCTGGAAAGTCAATTTACCCTTTTTCCCTGTATGTGTTATTATGTTTATTTATTCTCCATCAATGTTATAGAAGCTCACTGACTTTGCAAACCCAGCTCCTAAACTGACTAAATCAAAGCAATTAAAAGTAAAACCCACGAGAAAAAACTACTCATCCAACCAACATGCTTATGGCCTAGCGGTACCAGACCCTTACTTTCCAAAGGGAGGTCAGGAGTTCGAACCTCAGTTGAGGCATGTGTGTGTGAGTACCAACAAGGAAAAGAAAAAAAAAAAAAAAAGCTACTCATCCATTGGTTGTAATTGCACCATTTTCAAAAGACAGCTTACAAAAATTTATTGGTTGTAATTTAACCATCCCACTAGGGTCCTTCTAGGGACTACTTGTAAATGTACGCGTTTTAATTTAACTTAGAGAAGGAAAAAACACTGGACCTGCTTAGTTTGTCACTCATAAAACAACTAAAAATCACTGACCGTGAATTCCATTAGGGGTATCCTAGGCCCACACTTCAAAAGCTAATGGTATGCAGTAGGTACCTCGAAGGTGAGTTTTAGCCTTTTAGATAAGCACTTTTGCACACTCCAGGCTCAAAACCCTCCCCTCCTTTTGAGGATGGGGAGGTAGGTTATACCATTGCGCTAGAAGCCCTTTTAGGGCTAATCTTGTAATCCAACCAACCAAACAATTCTAAAGATAAAAGATTCAAATATCTTTTGACCCCTTTCTCTCGCCTACAAGCAGCATATTGTCTTGACACCTTGTATAAGAAGGATGGTATGGTCCTCCCTTAGTTCAAGCCTGCTTAATATAATTGGCAGAAATGGTGAATTACTCCTTTCTGGCACAAAGCAGGGTAAAGATATTGTTTTTGTTTGTATGAATTAGAAGGATATGGACCCAAGTTTGTACAAGAACAATAGTCAAGTTTGTATTGTAGCTTGATCAAGTAACAAGCGCAGTTTGTATGAAATTTAGAGGAATGAACAATCTTTCTGGCCAATCTTTACTAACCTTCCCCTCCCAGCAACCCCATGAAGGCGGGGACTAAAACCCGGTAATACTGAGATGATGATCAGTGGAACTATTGTGGTTTGGAGCCTCCTCATATTCATGTTTGATTGTAGCTTGATCAAAATAGCAGTTATTGTGCAATGGGCTGCAGAAAAATATTATCGATCAGCGCGACTCGGCATAACATGAAAATACTTATAAAAAAAAAAAAACAAAAACAAAAACAAAATAAGCATTCTCAATATAGAACCAATAAACCATTTACTAGACCGAATTATAAGTTACACTTGTAGAATAGTGCACTTGGACATAACATAAAAATAGATAATAGCAAACTTGAAAATATTATAAATTTGATGTGGGAAAAACACACATTAGTCCCACTCAAGTGATTCAAGTCTACATAACCAAAAAAATTGTCGAATAATTCATCTGAAAGTCGATCACAATTTTATTCAAAGGATGAGATTTTTTGTCAATTTGTAAGGGTCGCATTCTTTTACTTCAAAAGACGGTATCATGCCATTGGTGCACAGGAATTGATACTGAATGTTGAATGCCAGTATATAAATCAGCAGAAGTCAGATAGAAGTGCTTGATTAGAGCTGCGCAACAGCACACGCGAGTTCGACATAGGAGTTCTAGTTAAATAATTATCTGTGTAGATGGCCTCTATCCCTTGAGGACGAAAATGGCAGAAAGGTGAATAATGGTACCAGATTAATAATATAGTCCAGGAATTACCAACAAATGAAAACAAATAACAAAGTGAGAGGATTTAAAACACATTTGAATCATTGTTTCAACTCACAAGAAAGATAGCTACTCAATCAGGAAATAATATGTCTACATTTGAGATGGAATAGGGAAAAGCATTCTAAGAAGGAATCAAAAGAATACAATGAATACATGTTTTTCTATATCAGTAATAATACATGCAGACGTGTACATACTAATAAAATAATACTAACAAAAACATGAATTGAAGGAACCGTGGCAATGTATTGATACTGATTTTGCCATTCTGAATATTTTTTCTAGTGAAATGATTATATTGTGTTGGTCCGAAATCCAATGACAAAAACCTTCTGATAACCAGATGCAAAGCTCCCTACCAAGATCAAAACATCTTAGACTTCATTTGGTTAAGTAGGACGGAAAGAAAAGAAAAAAAAAATCACTAGATATGAGAGAGAAAAAAAAGAAATGAATGGATAGCTTAATCCTTTACTTGGTTTGAACAAGTTATGAAGGGAAAGAATGGAAATTACAGCATAACCCCTACTTGTTTGAAAAGGTGAAGAGAGAAAAGAAAGGAAACTATCTTACTAAATTTACTATCATACCCTTCTGCATTAGATAACAAAATAAAACATTAATGCATAAAAAAATGCCTTCAAAAGTAAAACACAAAAGATCAATACCCTTTCACTGCTGCAAGCGATGCTCTAGCAGCCGCTCAAGATGTATTAGACAAACTGGCACACAAGATCGATAAAAATACCATAGGACGAAGAAGTTGTTTTATTTTTCTTCTTATAATTTTAAGGGTACTATGGGTATTTTGAAAATTCCATTTGGTCATCCTTTTTCTCCAAATCCTCCCACTTTTGGGAGAATAGTGAAAACATTCTTAGAAGGGTTAAGCAATCCCTCCTTTTTCCTTTCTTTTCCTTCCCCATTTTTAAACCAATCATGAATATGCTATTTCTCCATTTCTTTTCTTTACAATTCTCTCAATCCAAATGAAGCCTTAATGTCTCACAAAAACATGGACATACATGGTACATGTAACACATTATAATTAGAAAACTATTCATCTTCCATATGCAACCACTGAAGGTTAGCACAATAACCCAGATATTGATCATAAACCTTTGTTGTTAAACTTCATACATGAACAATTGACTTCCTCAAAGGTTATAGGTGACAATTATGCACCAGGTAAGTCATCATGCACTACCCTATATTTAAGAACCTGGAAATGTCATTTTAAGACCAGGATATACGATAAATGCCCCAAAAAGATCCACTAAGTTGGTTGCAAAGCAATAGTGAACTAAATAAGTAGAGAAATAGCAATTGATAAGCCTGCGCAAAAATGTCAGATGCCAAGTATACAATTTGCAATACATGCAGCTAAGACCAGGGATACATGCCAAGAAGTATATGGTGGACACCAAAGCAAAAAAATCCTCATGCAAGTGGCTACTAGGAAAATTTGAAGCCAACAGGGTGGCTCGTGCTAGTAAACTTGTCACTAAAATGTTTAATCCTCTATGACTGACCAAAACAATGCGATTGTCTTTAGATAGGTGACCATAAGGAACTAGGACTTCTTAATGCACAGTTTTCCAGAACCAAGAAACTTAATAAAAAATTAAAGAAGTGTGATCCTAAATAGAAAGACGATAGTTAAAAGATCAATTAGTCGTGTATTGGGAAATATGCTATGAGTTACTCAGGATTTAAAAAGAAGTATGCTATGAGTTTGACGTACGGTGGCAGTATGCGTCCCTAATATTAATTGTTTAAAAGAGAATTTGAACCTAAGAAGATCAGACAGAAACACTGATACATATCTAATTAATGATGGAGCTACCTAAAGAGGCAAATCAAAGATGAAAGTTATTATTCCGTCTAAGATGTATATATATTTTACAGCATGAAGGGGTCCAATTCCATTATCAAGAAATACCTTCCTCTAAAGAGATTCAAGCTTGAAGTTACAGTAGAATTGCAAAGCAGATAGTATTTTTTTTTTTTCCCCTCTTTTTTTTCCAGAAGTTACGAAGCAGATAGTGTTGAAACAATGAGTGCAATGAAAAATGGACAAGAACTAAGATATGAAACAAGTACCAAATGTAACTCCAATAATGATATACAGTTAGGGGAACTATGACCATGTTGGTCATATATGAGGTCCAGACATGCCTAAATATCTATTTGAAAAAACGAAAGCTTGCAAAATTAATTTTTGAACATTTGCATAGGGAGAACACATGAAAATTAGGGCCAACATGTGAAGGAAAAGGCTTTGATGTGAAGCCACTACAAACTGTCACAAGGGTGATGAGACTCTTAACTATGTAAGAGGACATATGAATAAGAGTATGGTAGCACAGAATTACATAATATAATATGGAGGTAATATACCTTGATAAGGACTTTCGAAGAAAGACAAGAAATATTCAAATTCTTTTTTTTTGATAAATAAGAAATATTCAAATTCACCAAAGGCATCGTAGCCTAATGGTACTTCCTCACCTTCCAAAGCAGAAGGTCGAGGGTTCAAGTCCCCAAAGGGCCAAAGTGGGTGGGTGAGTGTGTTTTCTTGCCAATGAAAAAAAAAAAAAAAATTTATATTCCTGTCGTTGAATACATGCATGGATGAAGTGTTAGGACCAAGTGTCATGCGTGGGCAAATTTCATAGTGACAATGAGTGGTAATTTTTGTTTTATCTTAAACCTTGTCCAAGCTAAGCTTCAAAATAGAAAAAGATCATCTTCAAATAATTGAATAAGTCATGAACAGTCATATCGCACACTTAGGAATACATGAAAAAGTGCTGGAAGGTTGAATAAAACGTTTCTAGAACTTAATTTTTTAATCAGATTATTTCTAAACATAGGACTTTGCTTTTTTTTTTTTTTTTTTTTGATAAGTAAACATAGGACTTTGCTTTTAAAATTAAAAAGTTCAAAAATCCTCACATCTGTAAAAGTTGCACTGATATAAATAATTTACAAGCATTGGTACAACCATACAAGCATTGGTGCTTGAATGAATGACTGACAGGAAGGAAAAAAATAAAAAATAAAAAAAATAAAACCCTTCAAATTCAAACACATTCAGATCCTTTGCATCCGTAATCTAAAGAAAACTTCCTATACAGCCGTGATAAATTCTCTCTGTATGTAAAAAAGCCCGAATTCCTTCTTATACCATATTTTTTCAAACTACCGAGAGATCTCTACAAACCAAAAAAGCTCAATACTTTCTACCATGGCCTACTATTTCTTCCTTACTGATCTAGTCTTTCTTATGGCTGGTGGCGCCACCAAATGACAATGTTATCCTGCTAGTGAGGATACATCCATCAGACGATCATCATCCACGCCAAAGACTATCCAAGGGGTCTCACCTAATTATTGGGAGGACCACTTCAAAGTCCTCATTGTCAGATCGATACCCATTCATTCAACTATTCCAATATAGGGCATGTGTGACACTTCGCCAAATCATGGATGAGCATTGGATATATCAAATTTTCATATAGAAGAATACAAGGGAACTGCTAAATGGTCATATTACTTAATATTTTTCTTTTATTTTCTGGAGTAAAATAGTGTTTCTATGCAGGGCTGAAAATAAGCTGAGCTTTGGCTTGTTCGGGCTCGGCTTACCAAAGGCTGAAGGGTGTCCAAGCTTGACGCGTGTTCGCACAAGCCTGTCCTAGCCAAGCTCAGGCTCAGCTCAGACCAACCATGTTCAAGCATGCTCAAGACTGACTCGAGCTCGGTCATGTACTCCATCATATCAGAGTCTGCATAGACTTCAAAAAGACTTTAGGAAGCGGCAATTCATTTGGAACGCCTCCAGTTACTGATTCCCTAACCACTACTTTGATGAGAGTGCTTTTCTTTTTCAGGATCGATATATGTGTTGAACTGTTGATGGAATGTTTCTTGGTCGGAACGGCCCGGACCTACTCTCTGTTGGTCTAAAAGCCTCCATTGACCTATATCTTAAGAGTTGTGAAGGCAGGACAAGCAAATACTGTACATTATTACCTTGTTGACCTTGCATCCACACCTGGGACACAATGGCCTTCACATTTTGCTGATGGTTCAAAATTCTAAAAAACCTGAAAGGTTTAGGGTCAATAGCACAATTGTTTAAAGGCAATACAACAATGGAATGATAATGAGAGAGCCCTGCAGGACCAAGCAACTGTTTAGTATTTCTTTACTCATAGGCTTTTGCCTGCCCTTCTTACTAGCAATTGAAGATAATAACCCTCAACTACCGATTAAATTGGTGTCTTTGCTGATCACGATCTGCATGGAACCATAAATCTCATAGTCACACAATCTTGAGACATAAAAAGAGATGGAACCATGTGATCTTCAAAGACATGAGAGAGGCATATGATCATTAGAAGATTGTGGGTGAGGGGAGCAAGAGAGACAGGTATGTTTTATGAGGCGGCAAGTTGCAAATGTTGATGAGAAACCTTGGGTTCGTATACTGATGGGCCATTCGGCCTTATGTATTGCACCAATATGTGGACCTTATGTGTTGCAGCAATATGTGGGCCTTTTGTATGTATTGGCATTGCTTTTTAGTTGCATGTTGTAACATGGATGGGCAAGTTTATGTTAAACCAAACATGAAATGGGTTTTAAACTATATAAACGAACAAGCTTCTTCATGAGCTTATGAGCCGAGCTTAGTGTTGTTCAACCTCGGTTTGTTTACTAAATGAGACTAAAAAAAGCTCAGCTCATTTACCGAATGAAAAAACATAAGCCGAGCTTTTAATGAACCAAGCCCGAGCTGTTCATGAACAACTTGATTTATTTGCAGTCTTATTTCTATGTAACGTAGTGCTCAAAATAGCATATAACTCATTTTAAAGCAATACTATAATAAAATTGAATTATTGAATATGCTCTTTAGATACATATCCAACCAAATATGTTGAACACATATCCTATACCCTTGTCCGAGCGTTGTCCATCTGACACGAGTAGTTTAGATCTTTTGAAGAGACCATGAAACATACAAGACTTCTGCAGGCTTCATCTGTTTATTATATGCCAATGACTCAATCTAGTCTTCAACCCCTTACCTAACAAATCATACGTTCCAACAAGAAACAAAAGATTACATCAAATTTCATTGCTACCTATTTTAGGAAACCTAGAATATATAATGGTCCTGTTTTAACATATAATAATACTGAAGAAATGAACTCAACTAGCAAACCATGTTCAATGCCCTTAGTCAAAGCAATATTGCTTTGGCAAGTAAATATACAATTAAAAAATTTCATGTGCATTTGTGGTCTTAAACCTCGTAGCCTCATGTAATTTAATCTCGACTCCTATGCATACGATAAATCAATCCCCAACACTCAATTGAGATTTTTATCCTATGTTTCTTTTGCTGTTTTCCTAGAGGGCTTGCTTAGTGGTTCACTGGTTCAGTGATCTTTTTTTTATTCTACTCTTGCATAACATCACAGAACCAATTCACAAATTCATATACGAAGACCGAACCATTCAATTCAAAGTCAGGTGACTCAGGCCTCTGCCAGAAAGGAAGAGGGTTGATATAAATAAGTATAAAGCACTCATTGAACAAATCAAATATAAAATTGCAAGAACATGAATGAATCATTAAATAAGTGCAATGAAATCAAACCCAAAAAATTCAGTTAAAAGAACCACAAAGCCACAAAACTGAAGTTGTGAATATAGAGCGACAAAATTAAACTGGTATATATCACATTGCACATAGATCTTTCAGATCTACCAACGGGTCAGTGGCCTAGCGGTATCAGCCTCTTACTTCCCAAAAGGAGGTCAGGGGTTCAAGTTTCAGAAGAGCCGTGTGTGTGACTACCAACCAGGAAAAAAAAAAAAAAAAATTTCTTTCAGATCTTCGTTTGCAAGTAATTCAAAGTCTACAAGGCGCTAAATGCATTTGTATGAAGAAAGATCGATAAAAAAATACAGAGAAAACCATTCTAAAGCTACAGTAAGTACTTGGTTGATTGAACAAACAATTAGTGAATTAGGGCTTACCATCTCTATTTCTGCAAACTGAACAGCTTCTAGTGCTTCTTTCTTCTTTGGGGCTGTTTCTCCGTAGCTAACCTGTAAATCCAGTAAACCTACATATACATAGAGATAAAATAAAAAAAACTGTCAAAAGATTGAACTCATAGATTGAGCAAAGATCACAAAAGAAAAAAAGGGAAAGAATTGGAGTACAAGAGCAATGACGTGCACGGCTATGAGAATGACCACCAAGAGAGGAACTAGTTCAAGGATCCATGGTCGAGTGGAGATTTGTTGCTGATTCGCCATTTGCAGAGACAAATGCTTGAGAGAGATGGTTAATTGAAAATTTGGGGGCTTGTTTGGTGTAGGGTTTAATTATATTCCTAAATTCTAGTAAGCCCTGGGAGGCTGGGTTTTCATCTTCACTGCTTATATAGATAAAGACGGAATAAGTTTCTTTATGTATCGTAGGAAAGAAAAAAACTTAGATGGAAAGGGGTGAAGAAGGTTTTCATTTACCGTTAAGACAGAAAGAAAGATAAAATTATAATTATTTTATTATAATATCTGTTAATATTTATTACTCCGTATATTGTAATTTATAAATGTTATCATAATTTAAAATTTAGGATAGTTTTTATTTAGAACTTTTATAATATTTCATTTGCCTTCTGTTTTTTGTTTGGCATATTTTTTGGGCGAATTAAAATTTTTAAAGGAGGATGGGATGACCCATTCTTTTTATTATATTTTCTTTCCTTGTATAATCTTAATCGGATAAAGGAGTTCTTTTTTTTTTTTTTTTTTTTTTTTTTTCATATCTCTTCCTTTCTTTTTACGAAATAGAGCATTAAAGTAATCAATAAGTTATGTTGGTAGCGTATAATTCGAGTGGTTGAGTTGTTCTTGTAATTTGGAGTTGGTGTTTTAGTTTTGCATTATCTCATTCTCTTGTAATTATTAATTTTTAATATTTTTGTTATAAAAAAATATAAAAATAAGATAAAAAAATTTATTTTATTTTTTAAAATTTAATATAAAGAAAGTTTTATAGAGTTATTTCTTGCATTGATAAATAGCTCCTTTAAATATGTTTTTTTTTTTTTTTTGACTCAGATTGTGCCCTCTATGGTACGTTTGTATTTTCTCAATTCACAGGCATGCTAAGATTTTTGAATCCCTATTTCACGGTCAAGGAGGAAGCCAAATAAGTTTTCCTACATTAGTGAGTGTGTGCACTGATTTTAATCTGACTTTGAGGATTAAATGAATGACTCTCACTTTGCTCCCAATGAAAAAGACTCAATGTTAGATGGAAGATACATGAACAAGAAGTAATAGTGTAATCTTCTTTTTATTACCATATCAAATACCAATGAAAATCAATTACAAATTCTTTAACATTCTCCACTCTCATCTCTCTCTCAAACACACGCCATTCTTCAGCTTCCACTCTAGAAAAGTAATAATGTTTTTTTTTCCGATCTCTCTTTTAGAAAGAAAGAGATAATACCGCTCGGTCAATTGATTATTTGACGCAAAATAATAATGTTTTTTATTTTTTATTATATTTTTTTCCTAAAATTAACAAAGTAATAATATTGACACCACCTAAGGTGTAAGCTCGAAGGAGGGAACATAAATGGGCGTCATAGGTTAAAGTGGGGTATAGCTCTAGGAAGAAACAATTGGCGTAATTAATAAGTGGGAATATTGCATTAAAACCCCTCCAGTTCTAACTTCCGGCACAATACCCCTTACAAAAAAACCTCCATTTTTTTTGTTGGTATGTTTTATACAATATAATTATAATCAAATATATTTTTTTTTAGAAGGATAAGAGATTTGCCAATCTCTTTCCCTCGTTTTGTGTATTGTGAGTAAATTACACTAGTGTTTTTAAAATTTGAACAAAACACTAGTAGATGGTTAAATATTTATCAATTTATCTTTTAGTGAGATTCAACGCAAGTGCTCAACGATATTATCTAGTATTATATATATTCTCTAATATTATATTTTTTACAGACATTTTAGCAAATTTTATAAAAATAACAATTTTGTCATGCATGAAAATCTTGTCATTTTCTCACATAAAAATAAAGGTATTATTGACTTTTTATACGTAGAGGTCCACTTCCCCCTAGAGCCGCCAAATAGTCGGAAACGTGTCACCACACACATATCAAAAACTGTTTTTCTATAAGAGCGAGAACCGATTCTTTGATGCGTAAATCCATCAAACACTTGCTGTGCACACTAGTCGCCTTTTAGACTAGACCCAATGCAACCCCAGAAGCCATCTTCAATGGACTGACAATGTCTCAAAGCCTTCGTCTGTGGAAATCTCTGCCGATGAGCAATGTCGTCGCCAGTCTCAAACGGCTCCGTTTTGCCGTTCTCGCCAGAAGTAGTGCTCTCTTATCCTTAATTTATACTGATTAAATGGATTTCATTAATGTTGCAAGAGTACTTGTCGTTGTTGATCTCATGTTTATTTGAGTTTATGATAGACATTTCTTTTATTATTTTTATCCAATTGCTTGTTTCTGCGTTCTTTTTTCTTTGTGAATGGACAATTGGACGTGGTCATTCGTTCAAAAATACTGACACCACAGACCCATATGCTATCTTTTGTACTTGTTTCTTTGAAATGGATGTATGTAAACCACGAACGAAAATTGCTGGGTTAGGCTTAGTTCTGTTTATGAAATTATGGGGATAATGTTGATTTTGAGTTTCTTTGGTCCACATTTTCTCGGCAACCAAGCAGACTTGTGTGATTCCGTGAGAAGTCACTAATTATGGATTTCACTTTTGCTAATGATTTGCGGAAATGATTGTAACCTATATCATGTAATCTCTTGATCTTGCTAATTGGAATAGTATCAATTTGTTGGTACAAAGAAGAACACTAGAAGACATATTTTGTTTTCTAGAGGGTAAATTTGTATATATTTAGCATTCAAAGGGGGTCATTGAACAGCTATTGACGTGCATTAAGTTGGGTTAAGAATGAACGAATGGAGTTTAATCTTTTAATTTTGGCAAACTAGTTTACTAGTATTTTTGTAATGTTTTTTTTTTTTCCCCTCGTCGCCCCAACCCTTACATCAATTTTTAGAATTTTAATTGATTTTTAAGATTTACAGTTTCTTGACATATTAAGCATGCTGGAACTTTTGAAAAGCTTTAGAAGAGTGCTTTTAGAAGTGATAGAGTGGAGGTCCATAATTTGTATACCTGCTCCACTTCTCCTCAAGCATTTATTGATCTTATAAGTTAATGGTCTTTACTTTCGCTTAGAGAGTATCAAATGTTGTTGGAAGCCAGCGACCCATTGGTCTAGAGGTATTGGGTGAGCCCTAACAAATTTCGTTTGGGGAGATTAGGTTTTTTAATTAGATTAAGGCGTTTGAGATATTTTTATAAATATAGAACAATAGACTACAAATAACAACAAGGGAATACCCTTGGCAAAGCAAGCAGAAATAACATGGAAACAAAGCTGGCTGGCTTAAGACAACAGGTCAAACAAATGAGATTCTAAAGGCTGTCTCCAAGGTACCAAACTCAAAAAACATCAAAATTGGATCTAGAGTGCTGGGAGGGGAAAACTGGACATAGATGTAACCTTTTGCACAAATTAGCAGAGAATGAGATTGCTGCACAACATTTGTTCTAGCTTGCTGTCAATGTTGAAGAAGTGGGGCTTGAGGAGTGATTGCTTTGACCTAAATAGTAGCAGGCTAATGATTTGAAGGAGAGTTTCTATTGGCTAGGAACATTGGACGTTGAAAGTAGAGCAACTGGTTAGTGATCCTAGAGTTGGAGTTTAGACTAGTGTGGTAAGTTTGTACTATTTCTTCTACACTGTGGATTGTTGAGCTTTGGGTTGGGTCTGGTGATCTTTTCCCTATGAGTTTTTTACTTAGAAATTTGTCTTTGTGTTTGCTTATTTACTTTCAAATTTTCATTTGGCTTGCTTAAAAGCTGGTTATTACTAAAAGTAAAAAGTGGATATCAAGAAAAGGAAACCTATTTGACACTCTCTAGGTCTGTTTTACATGTCACAATCCAACTGGGTATTCTTAGTTCACAACTCTCACAACCAAAAACATCTTATTAAGTGCAAGGGGCACCCAAGATCATGTTTTACGTGGATTATTGATCATGAGTTTAAGCTATTGGGCCCTGGCCTTTTTGAGTGATGATGGAGCCCAGTGGCAACAACCTCTAAAAGTATACAAAGATGCGGAAGGTAGGTTTGACACATTTCAGATGAAGCGGGGCCCAGTTAGAATTACGCATAGTCTTAATTTGTTCATGTCATATTTTTTATTTTCTTATATTCATCTGTTAAGTTTTATATAAACTTTTGGGGATCAAGGGTGTATACGACCCGCCCACACCATGTAGATATTGTCCGCTTTGCACACATTCCGTGCTTACGGTTTTCAAATGTGCCTACATGGTTAAGGGGTGTTCACACATATAAATGTTGGGAACTTCTCCCCGAGTCAATATGGGACATTACAACCACCCCCTCTTAGGACCCCGCGTCCTTGTTGGCCTTACCCGTATAGGCTTGTGCACGCCCCCCATTTTTGGCTGTGATTGGCTCTGATACCATTTATCACAACCCGATAGCGTTCGCTTTGCGCACACTTTTCAAAACGCGTCTAGATGATTAAGGGGTGTTCACATATATAAATGGCAAGAACTTCTCTTCCCAGACGATGTGAGACATCACTAAATATGTATGGTAAATTACACTAACCTCCATATGTATAGGATAAATTACACTATCCTTTCTTGAGATCTGGGCAAATTACACACGGGTAGACCGGTCAGCGTTTATAACTTTGACAACCTCCCTAAACCCATTTGTTGGGGGCCGGAAAGCGACTTTGAGTGTGAAAAGTCAATAATGCCCTTTATGTTATAATAATATATTATCTTGCATTTTATACAATGGAAGGGCAAAATTGTCATTTTATAAAATTTGGTCAACAGGTCTACCTGAAAGAAAATGCTAGGGGTGTCATTGAGCATGCGTGCCAAATCTCAGGTGAGGTCAAAGTAATAAAACCCTAAACAGTCTACCTGTGTGTAATTTGCCCAAACCTCCGGGTAGGGTCAGTGTAATTTACCCATGTGTATATGTGCGTGTGTATAATTGGTTTAGACAATCTGGCCGGAAAAGGTGGTGAATTTTCATCTCTCCCATCAAGAAAACATGATTTTGAGGGAATGGAGTAAGGGCCAATCTTTCCTACTAAATCCCTCGAGGGCGACTTAGGGGTGATGCACCATTCTCGTATGAGTGAAAGGCAGAGTCTTAAGATACTTTTTTTTTTGAGTTGTAGTCCTAGTTTGTGTGTGTGTGATCCTTCAAATGCAGTATAACCGTTCTGGGAACTTTAGGAGCTTTTGAAGCTTAGGATTGTGTGATTGCAACCATAGGTGCTATTACTCTTCTTATTCTCAGTTTTCAACTTTTCTGCACTCTTCCGGATCTTGTTAAACACTCTTGTCGTTCCTAAAAATTATTTATAGAATCCCCAGCATTTTCTCCTCAAACTTTTCTCAGCCAAAAGAAACCAGAAATATCAATGTTATTGTTTATGGGGTATTTTCCGCATCACAGGAATAGCATAAAATTCTCCCTTTCTAATTCTGAAATGCCACCTAATAAAACTCCGACCAAACCTTAACCTTTTCACATTGAACCTTAATTACTATATAAAGTGGCATACTATGAAGATCTGACATCTTAGGCATGAATGCTCTTTATTAAATTGCCAATCTTACACAATCTTTCCTAGTGCTGCTGTCCAAATCGAAGCCAAACTGAAACGGACTCTAGGTCCCCAAATCACCTTCTGAAGGAAACTTCAGAGCACACTTACCTTAGCACTGTAAAAGGAATGATCCTAAAATTTGTTCCCTTTGAAGCCTCCTAACTCAATAAATCATAGACATCCAAATCCAGACTGGGAATATACCAAAAAAGTCTCAACTTCTTCGACCCTAAATGAGCCTACAAAATTTGTGACTTCCAGATCACCCCTCGGTCATCCTTATATAACTAGAAACCAAGGACTCCTTATTTGTTCATATGCATAATAGATTTGGAAAATATGGTATGTTATTGTTAGGGCACATGAAAAGTACGGGGGCCTTGTTCTCCTGGTGTAAAATAGAACTTAAAAACAGCTGGTTTATAAACAACATAGCATCTAATATCGCCTGGATGTTTACTACAATTTGAATATTTGGTTATTTAAGTCTGTTATCAGTTGATTGAGCCAAGAGGGTCTATTGGTCCTCTATGCCACTGCAAATTTGACACCTTTTCCAACAATCTTCTGTTTTATAATTGCTTTTCTATACTAAATATTTTTTGTAAAGCTTTAATAAGTTTAGAGTCCTTTTGGATTCAGAGTTCAATTCGATGAGGTTTAAACTGTAGATGGGGATATGGTAATCTTATGAGTTTAATTTTTGTTATGTTGGTGAGATCAACTCAGGATAACTAACTTTTATTATTGTCTAACACCATTTGGTGGTGCAACTTCTGCTCTTGAATGGGTCACTGTAGGTATTTCTGAGCTTGTGATTTTCACATGTATTTTGTGTTGGGAGTGTTTTTTACCCATTGATGTCAGAAAGATCTTTTTGTAAGGTACAAATATGGATGACAAAGATCTAGATGAATTTTGAATGCAAAATATTGGACTATCGCCTTTTAGATAGCCTTAATTCTTTTTTTTTTTTTTTTAATATTATAGGAACTATCTGTATAGACCCCTTTTCTTGGTCTGATTTTTTTTTTTTTTAGAATTGTATTACATCAACTCCTGTATTTTGGATCATGTCAGAATACATCATCTCTTTGCAACCCATAAGTAGTACGGATTCTTGTTGGATCCTGTGATTGAAAACCTAATGTTTAGGTAGGGTTGTCAAATGAGTCAAGCTACTGCTTCTTTGATTTCCATGACATAGTGACATTTTATTTTAAATTGGCCAGTTATATCTTAAGCTATTTATATTGACTATACGTGTAGGGATTATATTGGATTGTTTTACCAAAACACTCAAAATAACGCCTACTAGGACTCCATTATGAACTGCATACGATGAACAAAGATGAGCTTGATTTGTTTACGGCTTGCTCAAGCTCATTATCTAAAAAACTAGGCAAGCAAGGGTAAGCCATGATGTTTTGCTTGATTGCTTAACTACCCGAACTTTGCCAGGCGTGGTGTCATCCTAGATGGGCTCATGTGCATGGAGAAAAATAATACAAAGGGTGTTGGTAAGCCATCCTTTAAAGGGCTAGAGGTGTGGGCTGCATGGCAGGCACTAGAATATGCTCCTTTTCTTACACTTTCCATTTCTCCTTTTCCTATTTGGTGTTACTGATGAGTTTGCTAATTTTGAACCGAAGAAAAGAAAGAGAAGAAACACCAAGAGGAAGAAGAGTTTTGGTTATATAATAGTATAGATGGTGACTTCTGCTATCGTTGTGAAATGGAATCTTCTTTTTGCCTTATATATTTATCCTTTTGTAAAAGTATGGTAAGATTTTAGATCAGACAAATATATTTTGAATAGTCTTGGTCAGTGATAAGTTAATTTGTCAGTATTTATTATCCATATTTCCAAAGTTGCTTTAGATGTGTCATTTAATCTCTTGGATGCCAAGGGACATGCGACCAATTGATCTTGGAAGTGTTGCCTTCTGCTAGCATTAGAGCAATTTCTTATCTATTCTCCTGGCTGTCCTCATCTCAATCTAGGCTGCTGATTAACCAAAATCAAGCCAAGCTGTGTTGGACTCTCATTCATAACCCTATTTCCAATCTGGTTGAGAAAGTCGGCATGTCTTTTATGGGCATGGTAGTATAAATCCACTAACTTGGATTACTCGTCTTCAACTTCATAGAACCAACAAATAACTGAATACGTCTTTTCTTATTGCATTAAATGTGGTGGGTGCATCTCCTAAATTTTCCCATATGTATATTGAATTTGTAAATAATGGAAGATGTTAATTCTTTTTTTATTTTATATATATTATTGGATCTGTGACAATAGGTTCAGTCGTTCTTATTTCCTACTTGGGTTATCATGTTGGTATTGATATCCTGACTTCGGTTTTTCTTTCAGCTTTACACAGTGATATTTCAGTTGAGACCATGTTGCGGAGATATTTAACGTTGGGGATTCCGAAAAATGTTGAAGTTGGAACAAGACAAGATAATTTTGGTCCTCTGTTTCAACGGAATTTGTAAGTTAGAGGTTATTTAGATTTCTTTGCTGCTTTTTTTGGTAGGATGGATCTGTGTGTGTAAGCAATTTTACTGTTGTTGTTTTGGTGCTTAAAATTCATCATCTGAATATGGTGATGCTCTATTTCATTCAGAGAATCACTTTCTTATTTTCCTTTGATAATTCTGTGCTTTAACTTGTGGGTCTTAGTACAGCTCTTCTACCAGCTTCACAAGTGTGCATGGTGAAAGGCCATCTGCTGAGTATGCCAAGTTGAGGAAAGAATCACTAGAAAGTAGATTTGGACATGTACTTGGAACTCATAGTTCAAAAAGTGTTTCCATGTTCTACCGATTTGGCCCATTCTTGGCGATGTACAGAGCAGCAATTATTTCATTCCATGTGGTGAAGTTAACCATTTGGCACTTTTTTGTTCACGACATAAAAAAACGTTCCATCAAGGTAATTTATGTGTGCTTTCTTTTTTTCTCTTTGGGTGCTCTTGCACTCTATAATTCTATGTTAATTAGTGCTTCTTTTTCTTTTTGGGTGCTTTCATAGACTGAAGTCTGCACGGTGGACACTTTGTTGTGATGATGACTAAGTTCTGAATTGCTGTTTATATACAGTAAAGCAGGGAACTTGAACTAGCTCGTAAGCACTAAGTTCCCTGTGGTTGCCTCATGTATATATCTTCCTGTAAATCACCATGAAGGAAAGCAGTTTTTACATCTAACTGCTCAAGATGTAAATCTTCTGCAGCCACAATTCCAAGCACCAATCTGGTTGTAGTCAACTTCACAACGGGAGAGAAAATCTCAGTGTAGTCAACACCTTCCTTTTGCTGAAATCCCTTCATAACCAATCTGGCTTTGTAGCGCAGCACCTAGTCTCTCTGGCCCAGCCTTCGCTTCTTGAATAGACAGTAAGCAATCAAAGACTTCACTTTTATGCCTTAAAGGAAAAACCCAAAATAACAGGTAAAATCACTCATTAATAACAAATAATAAGAATATCTGGATATAGACTTGAAAGGGCTATTCCATACAAATGAATTAATTGAAATGGAAAATAAGATGAACTTCTATGTTTCTTAAAACTCAAATGGTTGTGCTTGCCAAGATGACAATTACATGGAAATGATTCAATTTTATAAAACCCTACATCAACGGGGACAAAACAGACGAGCTAAGGTGACCTAAATGACGATGCCACTCATAAGATGAACATGTAGCAAAATAGTCCTGATGAGAACATCCAATGGTAGCCACAGAAGGGGAAATTGGGTAAAGTGATCCAGATTTACTTATCCGAAGACAGGTCTGCTTTTTTAAATCCTTCACAGAAAAAAAGAGAGAAGAAGATCAAATTTTAAAGCACAATCATTATCTTTGCAAAATTAATGAACACAAGATCTTTTTGTTTCATATAGAAGGGACGGGAAGAACACCGTTCATGTCAAAGGAGGAAGAAGTAACCAACTTGGTACCACCAGTATGAGATATGGGTAAAAGAAAACAATCCCTGACTAGAACTCAAAAAATATCCAGAGCATGATAAAAAAAAAATGACATTCATAGGCAGTCATGTGAAGAGATGCACCAATATCAAGATACCATGCTTGATCTTGAAGCATTGACGACATTGAGCCTTAGAGTGATTATATTTCAAGCAGATATGACTTTGGATACTAGGTTTTGAAAGGATGCAGAGGGTGAGGCGATTGAAGAAGTAGACCTTGTAGGAATGCCAAGTCTAGATCCAGCAGAGAATGGATGAGAGGAAGAACTGCCATAACTACCATTACCATGGCCATGATTCTTGGATTTACCACTATTACCACCACAAGAAGTTGAACCACGACCACCTCCGATTATAAGAATGATTATGAGCTGAATATTTTGAAACATGAGGGTGAATTTTCAGAAGTCCAATTTCGTGATCGAGGAGAGGCAACGAAGTTCGTCAAAGGCTTGAAGCGGTGGTTGAGTTGTTACTGAAGTAATAAAACTTCTGTAATCCGGAGATAAAATAGAAGTACATATAACACCAAATCAGATCTGGAAACTGGATGTTCTGTAGCACGTAAAGAATCGCTTGTGTTCTTGAGTTGTTTAAGAAAAGAAACCATGGATAACGAACCTCTTTGCAAGGTCTGGAGTTGGAACTTAAGATGTGGATGAGGAGAAGCAATTTGGTCCATGAGGTCCAAGCAAGCTTCTCCATAATAGACTGCACATCACGAGCTGCAGAAGAATCAGCAGTGATAATATTTTTGAGAATATCTAGAGTGGGGCATTCAATCATGATATAACTGATGTCTTTTTGACCCCAAACAGAAAGCTCTGGATTAGGAAAAATAATACCGAATGGATCCTGAAGTGATGGAGAAGGAACTCTTGATTCACCAGTTATATGTCTGTCATGTTTAAATCTTTTTAAAATAGGAATAAAAAGGGACTTCCAAACTAAAATTGTTAGAAAAATAAGTTCGACAGGTACATAATTTTTTACGTTCACAACAATAAGAGGAGGAGAAGTTGAACTAGAAGTAGTCTGGTAGATGAAGCAATTACAACCTTAGAGAAAGAGGGGGACAACCTGAGAACGAACTCAGCTGACAACCTGTGAATCACTTAGTCACGGATTATGTACATATATAATGAAATAATGAGTCAAAAAAATAATAATGTGATGCATTCTGAGTTAAAAAATTAACTGTCGTGAACAATATCTTAATATGATGCAGGCAAAAGCATAATAGAAGTCTTTAAAAATGATTCAGCAGAACTTGATGTCGTTTTATTTGGTTCAGTTATTTCTTTGCACATGTAAGTTCAGTTGAGTAGTTTTTATGCGTATATACTATTTCTTTTTCTTACAAAACTGTCAACGGGGATGTTAGGATATTGAGTCAAGTATCCTACACAAAAATGGGGTTGTAAGATTGACAAAATGTGCTGTTGTTTGCCCACAATCGAAGACGATGTTTAAGAGGAAAAACAACAATGAGCATGCCAATAGTTTCGTCAAGCTCAGTCACATGTTTGGAAAAATGTAAGATGAGATCTTAGCGAACATAAGAATCTAGGTTGGAATGCGTTATTACATAGTTGGACTTCTCATTACTCTTGTTTCATCTTTAGAAGGCTCAGATAATGTTTAAACAAGTTTTTCAAAAAGTAAGCTCATTGATTCGAAATTTTCATTACTCTTGTTTCATCTTTAGGAGGCTCAGATAATGTTTAAACAAGTTTTTCAAAAAAGTAAGCTCATGGATTCTTAATTTTGATGAATCGATTGAACATTTTGAACAAATTTTTAATTGAAAAACAGTGGGCTTCAAGTGATGGTTTGAGCTCGAACCATGACTCGAACCTAATCCAATAAATTTTGATCAATTAGCTGATTGATCGAACATGAGGAGCAAATAGACCAGAACAAACTTTATTTGGAAAGTCGCGAAATAAGTAATTTAGTGGTTTTTATTTTCCTATTTCTAATATTCCTCCTACTGGTTTTAAATTTGGAGTTATAGTCAGTTTGGGGAAATTAAAGTAAGCTCATCGATTTGAAATTTTGATGAATCGATTGAACACTTTGAACAAATTTTTAATTGAAAAACATTGAGCTTCGACTGATGGTTCAAGCTTGAACCATGACTCGAACCAAATCCAATAAATTTTGATCAATTAGCTGATTGATTGAACATGAGGAGCAAATAGATCAGACCAAAATTTATTTGGACAGTCGCGAAAATAAGTATTTGAGTGATTTTTATTTTCCTATTTCAAATATGCCTCATACTGGTTATAAATATGGAGTTATGGTTAGTTTGGGGTAATTAATTTCATATTATTGAGATTATTTGTGTCTTTTAGAGGGAGAAAAATTTGAGTTTCAATCTAGACTTTCTAGAGAACAGATTGAAAAATCAAAGCAATGAGGAAACCGTAGATTCATCAAACAATCATCAAGCGAATGATTTTGTGAAGATCAATGATTTGAACGACCATTTTATCACGGAGAGCAGACTTACGGTTGATCAAATTTGTTGACTTGCAGCAGCAGAGTCTGAGGAGGAATGCCTTGGGCTTAGGGTTTGGTACCTTGTGTTGTAATTCCTATTCTCTTTAGCGGATTGTTTGTGTCTGGACCAAGGGTCCCATGATTTTTCTCTTTTTGGGCTTTCAATGTATAAAACTATATCTCTACTTTACTTTGTTTTTATTGCTTTGTGTGTTTGTGCTTGTGATTGAGACATGTGGACAACTAAATAAGCTGAAAATTTGATGAAATATAACTAAAGTTAGAAAAATTAGTTGTTCACAAGAATTATCCATAAGACCTATTCACCCCCTTTAGGTCTGAATTGAATGTTTGTACTCTGGTGTATTAGACCTGGGGTACCTGTCAGTTCCCTCGCGATAATTTGACACTTGATATTGCTTGAGGCTATAATATATTTGTCATTACCTTTAAAAAATTTCTTTCTGTTTTACTTTTTTTGTCTTCTCTTAAAGACACAAGACATGGGATTGTCGTAAAATTACAATAATTCTTTTCATTGCAGTTTCGCGAAACTCTAATCCGCTTGGGGCCTTTCTACATCAAGGCAAGTTAGTCTGTGTTCTGAAGGCTCTTCTGATATTATTTAGTCTTACAAATTCTTCTATATTAATTTGCAAATCTATGCATTAAACTTGTTTTAAAGGTAGCATCCTTATTCTGCTGACCACAAATACATTACACATTACGCATGTAGACCGCTCTTGATATATTTTCATATTTTGGAATCGCTGTCAGTTTGTTCGAGATCAAATAGTTTCATGCTTTCTTGAATTGTTATACCCGAATTTCCTGGTACTGGTGCCGACTTCAGTTCTGACAGTTGGGTTTATTTCAAATTTTCCTGGTTTATAGGTTTCTCTACTTGATTTTAAAGAAGATACTAGTATCCACGACATTGCTGCTTATCGTGAAACTCAAAGCGCAACAAATTATTTCCTAGAAGGAAAAATAATTTTTTTTTTTTTTTTAACTGAAAATGCACAAAGAAGTAGAAGAAATAAGTAATTGAAACGGCATCTAATAGTAATGGTCATGGTGAAAAAATGTGGATTATGACGAGGGTTACAAGATGGTAGGGGCATTGGGAGTTGTTAATGTTTCATCGCTGCGAAATTGAATTTTACGTAGTTGTTAGCAGTTAAAGCTTACTTTCACCTTTGACTTATCAAAAAAAAAAAGCTTACTTTCACCTTTACTAAGTTTATGTCTATAAATTCACTTAAACTATTTGCAACCCGTATAATATGCAGGTCAGAAAAAATAAAATTTATATGTAATGAAGTAAATAACTTATATCTTTTAAAATTTGGAAAATCCCGAAAAAAATAAACCAGTAATTTTTCTATATCTAATATCTAATAATTTAATATTAGATGTAGCCTAAGTCAAATGAAAATGATAAATTTATTCAAAAAAGAAAAATCACTGATACAATGAACTCTGTGGAGCTTTTTATTTAAGAATGAAGCTTAGATCTTATGTTTCAGAATTCTTGGAGGAAAGATCTACGAGTAGTAATAGACATGAAAGGTCTGAAACTTTGAGGAAAAAATGAAATAACCCTGCCAAAAGGCAGCAGTTGCTGTGATGGAGCTCGGTACCATAGGGGCATTACTGCAGTATGGCCGTTAAATTAGTTAGCATTGGTATAATGGGACGTAATGGGATTTATAAAAATAATAATAATAATAATGGGACGTAATGGGGATGTTAACCACTGTTACAGCAGTTACATAACGGCATCATGTAACGAAAGATGATATTAAGAATTGTAAATTTCAAATTAGTAGAATTCACTCCTTATATTTTGTTCTTCTGGTGAGAAGGAAAAAAAGAAAAAAGAGGAAAATAATTATATGCCGATCAATATATTGGGAACAATTAACACTACACAAGTCCGTAGTCTAATCTATTCAAACAAGCTTTCTTTTTTTTTTTTTTGGCACAAAATAGATGATATGTTAGAGGGTTTGCTATACAGTGGATTTTGGAGAACTTAAAACAGTAAATTTTGTTGATACGGCTCAACTGGATAGGGGTTTTTTAAACTTGGATTATTGTATTGGGAACTTTTTTTTTTTATTTGTGTAGAGCTGCAACGTAATTACTTGTAAGTTGGTTTTTCCATTCCTTGTTCTTGGGGTATAGCATGGAATTCTGCAGCCTCTAAAGCAAGTTTTTCTAGTGGTTAACTTATTTTGTTTAAATTTGAGCTCCTAATTTCCTGTTTTGCTCCTGGAAAGTGAGTTAAAGGAAAGAAAGTCATGTGTAACCATTTCCCTCTCTTCTCATTCTTTCTTATTACAAAATGGATCCTATGAAATACTGAAAGGTCTTTGTGGTTGTTAGCAAAGAAGGTGTAAGCTGCGCTCTTCAATTAGTGGTATTCTTAGTATCCACAATGGATGTGGTGGGTGTAGGAGGGCCATTGAGGACGCTTTTCATCTAACAATTATAATTCAAATTTCATTGTTAAGTATCTTTGTTTGCTATTGTCCCTCTTTCAGGGGGATCTTGCCCGTTGGTAAAATTTCTAAACTTGTTCAGACAATGAAAATTTTCTTTTAAAATTGAATTAAGAAACATGGTTTGAACTCCAAGCTGACATTCAATTACTTTAGGGATGAAGCTAACTTTTAGAATTTTACAAAAGCAAGAACAGAATATCCATTCGAGTTCTAGAGTATGTAAGAACTTTGGACTTCAGTGTAAGCTTCAATTCTTTAGGCAGAATTAATATGCGGAAGTTTTGAATCTCAAAACCATGCTTTAATGTGTAATTCAATATCAGATGCCCTCAGTTTACAATGAGAACTCTACAATCTAGATTATAATACATATTGCAATTCCTCATCTTTTATCAGATTAGATAGATACACAATAACAGATCCTGACATTGTCATTCTACAACCATATTTTCTTTCCTGATTGGAGCATTTCTAGATTAATTTTGCATCAAGCAGATTGATCGATGTCTTCTGCTAGATGTTCATATCTTGTTGTTTGTTAAATTTTAAAGAAGCTGTTTTGGTTGCTATAGTGGAAAAAGAGTTCACATGCTTCCATATTTATATACATATAAAATATTAGAGAATATATTTTTATTTATTTTTGGTTCCCATGGGTAGTTTAGACTTTGCCCTTTTATGTGGGTAGTTTAGTCTTTTCTCTTTTTAGGGAATATAATATAGATTTTTTACAAATGAATAGTACAGAGCAATCTTCTTCTCTCTTCTTCTTCACTGTCCAAATATAACCATTGCAAAACTATCTCAAACATATATAAGTATATATACATGCACAATCATATATGTGCATATATGTCATATAATATTTACAATTATACATATGTGGGAAATGAAAATATCCTTCGTTCTTTGATTGATATGGTGATTGTTGGTGATTCCTTCTCATTGGAAAACTAGCACCGTTCCAAGAAGTTAAGTTGTGAAGGAATGGGTCATAGACAGGAAAAGAGATCAAAGTGCATTATCTTACCTGGATTTGATACTTCGCCCTAAACTACCCATGTCGTCACAGGTGCGACGCGGTTATTTCAGGGATTCTTTAACACATTATCTGTGACCACGTGTCCCGGATTTCGAGGATTAGACTATTTAATGCCTAGACATGCTCCATATCCCACACCTGCCCCTGAGCCTAGGTGACATAACAAACAAACAATTGGGGAACAATTGCTGACAGAGACTTGACTTCCGAGAATCAAAATTTTGATATTTTTTGGACAAGAACTTGAGCCAAGCACTTAAACTATTATGGAATTAGCCAAACAATGTATGTCAAGTCTTGCTTCCCCATTGGCTTCAAATCTTGCATCTCCTCAATTGAGAGGGACATCTTGGCAATGTCATATTGTAGACACTTTTATATATTATATGTTTTGCTTTGATTATCATAAGTGAAATCATCTGCAGCTATTTGTGTTGGGAGTATCTCTCTTTATAATTTTCTTCTGTTTGGATGATATGTGGGACCACCAACCTTTAGATGCAACATATGGATTTCTTAGATCATTTTTCAGATATTTTCATCCTCTATTCTGATTGAGAATTTACAAGTTGATAACGTTTAAGTTGCACTCAGTGGAAACCTTGTAGTTGAATATACTTTTCTTTGAAATTACAGCTTGGACAAGCTCTGAGCACGAGACCAGACATACTGCCAACTGTATATTGCCAAGAACTTGCTAAGTTACAGGTTTTCCTCGCTTAATGGTCCATCTTATTAAATTACTGTAATGGAACACTTTCATTTCAAATGAGTATGTTGTTCTCCTTTTTAATATTCATACAGTTGAAATTATTTTATGTATGACAGGATCAAATACCTCCATTTCCAACTCGTGTTGCCATTAAATCTATTGAATCGCAATTAGGTGCCCCTGTTTCACAAATTTTTGCTGACATCAGCTCGGAGCCCATTGCTGCAGCATCTTTGGGACAGGTCTATAAAGGTTAGAAAAATTATACAGTGGATGGAAGATCATATACCTCTGTTCTAGTTGTATAAGAATTCTTAGTGCAGGATCTATATATTGGAATGAAAATATTGAAAAGTCAAATAATTTTTGTAACTGTTACTACACGATTGCAATGCAGGATCTATTGTGGGTGAGTGGTCGAACTATACGTCCTAAATTGTTGCTTAAAGATTTGCAGTTTTTTTTTTTTTTTGCATTCTGCATTGTTAGGAGATGGGTTTCTAGGAGGGATTTATATGCTTGATAGAAACTTAAGCTAAATGTTCTGTTTTGATGCTTCAAGTTTTGCAGCTCACCTGCATTCTGGAGAGCTAGTAGCTGTTAAAGTACAGAGGCCTGGAATGTCACATTTGTTGACCCTTGATGCCTTGTTATTTCATATGATTGGAGGCCAACTAAAGCGATTTGCCAAAGCTCGGAAAGATCTTTTAGTAGCAGTGAATGAGTTGGTGAGTCCTCTAGATTTCTGGCTTGATAAATTTTTTGGCAATCTCGCATCTCCTTTAGGATATCTTTTGTTATTGTGACTTCTGGAGAATTGAACACATTATGGGTCATGTATCTAATACTCCCTCTATGTCCACAATGTGAAAATGTGCAACATTCTTGTCTGAAGGTATTTTACTGATAAAAGGTGGGCAGATGTGCATCACAACCTTTTGATGTATTTTTATGCTTATCAAATTATTTCTCACTAATCACTACTACATCATGAAAATTTCATTTAATTAGTTATTGAATTACTGCTTTATCTAAGCCATGTCATTTCTTCTTGTTTTTAGGTATTAATGCTGCAAACATTGAACACACACGATATGCATATAAATTGATCTGACAATATTCTATCAATAATTCAGCCTGGCCAATATATGTAGATGCCCGCGTTACTTAATTTGGTATTTATATGTATATATTTTGCTGCATGACAAGCCTAGAATTCAAAATTCTATGTTGACTAAATTTGGTGATTCAACAGTCTTTTGGACTCACATTTCTTTAGCGTTCCTAGGTTATTTAGCTAGGAGAACTTGAAAAGATAGATTTGTATAGACTTCAAGTAATGCTTGCTGCATGTATTGGATAAGAAACATGGGAGACAGGAATGCATATAAATGCACACATTTTTTAAGGCTTTTAATGAAGACTAAAGATGGATGGATGATTGTATTATTTTAGAACTAGGCCTTCTTGTTTTCTGTGAAGAACTATGAGAACTCCTTTGCTTTCTTGTTTTTTGTGAAGAAGTATGGGAATTTCTTTGCACTGGTACCAAAAAGAAACTGTGGTTTGGAATTTCTTTGCACTGGTACCAATAGGAAGCTATGGTTTACTGTAAAATGGAACAGTATTTCTTGCATTTCTGACATGGTTTAAATTAATCACGATAATATATATGGTGTTTGTTACTTTAGATCCCTGGGATACTTTTTTTTTTTTTGTCCCAGTGCTTTTCCTTGATGTTTCCGTTATTGGAATCAACTGGCAGTTGAATTGTTTAGAAGGTTTTGTTTGGAATTCTAATGTTCACTTGGATGTTAAAGTTGGTAGAAGTCTCTGCAGGTGAAGTGGTAATTAGAAGTTAATGACTTGGAGATTCCAGTTTTATCTAATTAAAAGCAGCAAATGGCCATTGCTTTTATTAAAAGCTAATAGATTTTCCTACTTATCAAAAAAAAAAAAAGCTAATAGATTTTCTTTATATTTCTTTATTGATAGCCTTTTTCATTAATGGAGTCTGAAGCTTAATGTTACCCAGGGAAGCAAGTCGTCATTTCTAGTTTGGTGCAACTTCTGGTTTGGCTGCAAACTATAAGGACTTCTTTTAGTTCTTTGGAAGTTCATTAAGACTTCATATATAATGTAGGTTTTCTCTTTGATTCAGATATTAGACATCCAAGGTGTATTAAATTTCTCTCGCACTTGGATGATGCTGTCAAGGGTGTTCTATAAATTATCTCAGTTTATATTTGTGAAGAGATTTGGAAGCTCGTAATGAGTTCTGGCAGACTTTATTGGCGGCAAAGAAGACAATATGGGTTAAACAAACAACTTTGGTGATATATTTATTTGTTGAAATGTTTGTCAATTTCATCTTCCTAATCTATAGGTGTTCGAGAAATTTGTTAAAAGCGTACGTTGCTAAACCAAATTTATACTGGGGGATGGTTGAAGGATTCTGTCTTAGGAAGATATTTTGTGCACTCTACATGAACTTTCCCATATTGAATGGTCAGTCCTTTATTTCTTAAGTCACACAATCACTCATTTGTTCCATGTGGGACTTGGACCCTCAACCTTCCATTTGGAAGGAAGAGGAGATAGCACCTAGTCTGAATCAATGGTGTTATTGAGAGGTCAGTTACCACCTACCAATACCATCAACGCTTTTATTGTAAAATGCTGTTTCTGAATGAACAGATGGAGACATTGTATATTTTGACTTATGAGATATTATTGAGATATTCTTTTGATAAGGATATTTGAGTCTGTAGCCCTTATAGTTTGCCTTTTTATATGGACCCTTGTGCATCTGTAGGTTGTGTATCTGTCTAATCATCAAATTTATTAGTTTTCCAAACCTAAGGACTCGCGAATATGTTAAAAAATTCATATATTTAATATTATTCTTTTATTTTTAAGTTTTATGTGTGTGGGTATGTATTTTTGTTTTATAACATAGCTTTTGACATGACCACTTCCACTTTATTTAAAGAAATAATGTAACCGGGATTTTAATGTGTAATTATATAGTACTTGAATGATAGGATATACTTGTTAGGTGTATGTTTATGGTCATTGTCCAAGTGCTGTGTACCCATATGGGTTCTTGATGTAATCAGAAGAGTCCATGTTCAAAAACAATTTACTAAATCTTCTTCTATGTCTCCAAGCCGTGTCTCATTAAATCATCAGCCACTAAATCTTTCTTCTATCCATAACAATACGGCATAGGTGCGATTCTTAGGGTCCATGTTTTAGATTGGATAATTTCACGAGACGATCCATTCAGAAGCTAGTTCCATAAATTATGTAACAAATTTTTAAAAATTAACTCCTCCAAGACCTACAACTACGGTGTCCTTTTTTATTATCTCAAGTCTCAACCTATATCTATTTTGGCCTTCCCCTTTATCTAGCCTTATTCTCATTCCATGTTACTCTTCCTTATTAGTGCAATTATTCATTTTTGATGTGCATAACCAAACCATCTTTGTATTATTTATTATTATTATTATTATTATTATTGTGTTTCTTCTCCAATTGATGCTTACTTCTACTATCTCAAAATTTTGATATTTTCAAATTTTCTCATTTCTTGTCTTTCCACGCATTAAGACATTCTGATTTATGAAGTTGTTGTTCCGTAGTCTTACAGTTGTTTAGTACAAATTCTTTTTGCGCTTTCACATGTACCACATAACTCTTCATGCTATACTTCTATGAGCAAGACACCACTCCACATATCTCATCATGCTATACTTCTATGAGCAACATTATCTCAATTTTTTTTGAATAATTGATCTTTAATCTTCACTAATTTCCCATTTATCTCACTTCCTAAAGTTACAGTCCATATATTCGGTTCAGTCCTACTTTGCTTAAACCCTTTTGATTATGAAGTTCCTTAACAAGCTTTCTAATTTAGCATTTACCCTACTAGTCCTATTGATTTCAAAGTCCTTCTGTTCAGTATTTTTCATTATTTTTCGTAATATAGAAACACTCTTACCCACCCATTGTTCCAAAAAATTATTTTACTAGGCTATTTTAATGGTATGTTATGAATCTCCATGAAATTTGAATTCATGCTTTTCATCTTGCTTGTGTTTATTTTCATCTTGGAAGGGTATGTGCTCTTTCCCCCAAAAGGGCTTGATGTCATTTGACTCTATAGTCTGTACGACCTTTGGGAATTCTTTTTTTGTTTGAGCTCATAGGACCAACACGGAGGATTGAAGATTTTCCTTTTGCAATTAGAATGGTAATTATTCATTTATTCCTTACAATTTTCAGTCCAAAGCATTACTGGCTGTTACTTGGGAAAGAAGTAAATAAAAGACGAAGAGTCTGGAGGTCTATATTTGGACCTAACAGTCTCTACCAGCTTTATTGGAGTCCCCATTCCAAAAATATGGGCCATTTACACCCGAGGCATGTTAAGCTAACAAATGAGTGGCTTTTTTGTATTCGGATTGAATTCCTGTCAACAGACCAACAAACGATGGCATCAAACCTCTTTGTCTAAAGAAATAATATTTCTCTTTATTACTCGAAATCCTTCAAAAATTCACCTCTGAGGTCAAGCTCTTTGAAATTTATTGCCATTTCCCACTTTGTGGATACCATGATTGTCAGAGGATTTTCAGAATTAATCATACTATTGCCTTTGGCCTGGTCGTAGTGCCATCATATGCCTCCGTGAACTCCTAATATGATGTGAAGAGCTCCATCTTGTGAGTTTGACTTCAATGCACCATCAGAGTTAGCCTTCAGCTTGCCCACCTTGTTGATGTGTCCGAAATTTAGGAGCTCTATAAGTACTCTGTTCACCCTCTCTGAACACTATAATATCCTCTGAGGCCCCGCACTAACCACGTTCCTAAAATTTGACTTAAGTTCCATGGGGATCATTACGTTTGTATTAATCATCGTGTGACTTGCAGAAAACAACAAAGGAGCCTCAAAAAAAATCTTGAAGTTCCATTTCATTATATCATTTGTGTATTACTCTACTAGTTTTTCAATATAGCAGTTCCCTGACGATGAGACAGCAATGGAACTTTTGTGGCTTAGCCGGGTTGACTTGATAGAAAAGATGGTATATTGACTTTGTATGTTGCTCATAGGAAGGGCAAGAATCATCCTTCAAGAGTCTGCACGTGTAATCTTTTCATTTGAAAGATCTATAGAAAATGATTGATACTTCATACAGAAAACCTATGGCTTATATGTTCATATGATTGTTTCTTGGTAAATACAATATATTTTAATTTCATTGTGTAACATATTTATCTGCAATTTGATTATCTCTATACATCCTTAGAGATTCCTTAGGTTTCTTAAATGGTCAGGTGAGACACATGTTCGAAGAAATTGATTATATCCTCGAGGGACAAAATGCTGAACGCTTCGCTTTTCTCTATGCTTCCCACCCTTGTAAGTTCTTCCCCTCTTGTAAACACTGCATCTCATTTTTGAATTCATATATGGGATTGAAGTTCCTATCATTTCTTGAATTTACAATCATACTATATCCATTATCATCAGTCCTTGCCTTTATCCCATACAAATGCGGTTGGCAACATTCATATTATATATGTGCAATTACCTGTCTGTCTAAAATTATTCAGTTTTCAAAGCACCTTTTCTGCTAAAACTATTCCAGTAGATTCAGATTATTGGACTTGTCTGACCAGCATCTTTGTGACCATATATTTGACATCGCTTTGTAGTTTTTCAGCTAAATTTTTCCCCCTGATGAGCTGTTAAGAATGATTGTTCTGCCTTTGGTTGGTATACATACAAGGGTTGACTCATTATCTGAAAAAGATCAGTTGTGAGATATTCCATATGATTTGTTGCTTGTTAGGATTCACCACTGTAATTGTGCTAGGCTCACATTATCTGTTTTCAGGTTGTCTTATTTTGCATTAATTAAGACATTTTATGAAGTTAATTTTGAATTTATTATAACGGATGTTAATTGATTTTTTATGCTCGTTTAAATATTCAGAGTAGATGGCTAGCTGCCTTGAAAACTAGTCAAACAGCATTCTTAACCATCATGCCTGGTTCTTCGAATTTACCCATTGGATGTTGCTTGTCTGCAGTCATGAGTTCATTCTCATAAAAGCTGTTTCCCGGAGGTTATTTAGAAATTTGGACTAAAATCTTGAGAGTCATAGCTGGATGCGTTGCAGATGATGCGTGCAAAGAGGGTGGAAGGGAGGTAGATTATCCTTTAGCTTTGATGTCGACCATTCTAGGTGCCTAAATGGGATTGAAAGAATTATTTTAAAAAATGACACCAGAATCTATGAAGTTTTTAAATTCAGTTTACAGTTCTTTTCACTTGCTTCTATTCTACTCTGGGTCCTTTTGATTCTTTTATGGTGTAGTTGGCCACAGATTAATTGTAAATATGACAGACTTATAATGTGTAGTTAGTTAATTTTTATTAGCTATTTGGGGACCATCATGTAAACATCTATCACTAGAATTCCTTCTGTTATTACAACACAGTGTGTCTCGTGTTGCAAGACTATTCCATCTTTTCTGTTAGTAAGATGGTAACGTAAATGTATGCTTGTGTGTGTTTATAGAGAGAGAGAGAGAGAGAGAGAGAGAGAGAGAGAGAGAGAGTTGCTTGTGACTGATTTTTGGCCTAAAGTTTGTCTTTGTAACTCCGACATGGAGCTTTTCAGCACAGCGGTGTTCCAGCTTATGGAACACCGATCTCTTAGCAATTTGTGTAAGAACCTAATATCTCCAAGATATCACAACAAATCGAACCCTGGTGACATATACAAGTTATTCTTCCTCAAAAATGAACCTCGTAGATTCCAAGTCTCTCTAATTTCTTCCTCTTCCTCCTTTTTTTTCTTCATGTGAATTTTGATAATTGTGAAACTCAAATGATTCTCAATTGTGGAACTCGAGAGTTTCTCATTGTGTAAGGCATTGTGTTGTACTTGGGAGGTGCTTTAATTTCAACTCTATGCAAATCTGAAGCAAAGTTATTGGCCAGAGTTATGCCTTGAAGTTGTCTCTAAATTAATTTAAGTTTGTTGACTGCTATTGTTCATATTAATTTAGCATCAATCAATGTTTGTGCACAAGTAAATCTGGAGATATTTTTAAGTAACAGAAAGCTTTTATGGTGATTTGGAGTCGTTGAATTGAATGTAAGGGGATTATTTGTACGACGTGGTTTGTGGTAGGTAGTGTTGTCAGGGGCTTATTTGTTATTACTTCTATAATGTTAGGGCTTATGTGTAATTTCTGAAACTTGTTATTATAAATAGAATGTGGTGGAAGGATGAAAGTATTCGTTCATTCTCTCTCTTTCCCCATCTCTCTCTCTTTTTTTCTCTCATCCGCTTTCTTCTCTTTTTCTTCTTCTTCTTTATCACTTACTTTCGATTTGATTATATCTTAAAGTCAACATGGTATCAGAGCATGGTTTGTAAAGCTCTAGGTTTGTAGTTGAAACCCTAGGGAAAGTTTGTGTAAACCCTAGTGGGTGTGAAGGGTTTTGAAGAGATTCCAAGATGGGATTTGTTTGCAAGGAAGTAGTGTTAATCACATCCACACGTATCTCGATCGGTGTTTTTTTTTTTTTGTGTTCGCGGGGTTCAACAGCGGCTTTTTCTTCGTCGTTTGCGATTCTGATATGGTCTACTTTATTGCTTTCTAGGGTTTGTGTGGTGACTGTGTAGTCGCTTTTTATGCATCTTAGAAGACGGTAATATTTTTAGTTTTGTGTGTTAGAGAGGTGGTTCTCTATGTATTTTGTTACTGTTTTTGTTTCTGAGGATTGTATACCCAGAAGTTGTTTGATAAAATGTCTGGCTCAGAGGCTCTTAGTTTGACTCTAGTATTGGGAGGTAGTAGTGATCACCATCCAGGCCTTTGTATTACGACTGTTAGGCTGGATGAGACGAACTATATGGAGTGGGCTCAATTTGCTCGTATGCATATCACTGGTCGTAGGATGATCAACTATATCAAAGGGACTGTCACATATACCTGCAAGAGCGATCCTGAATTCAAAGAGAGGAGTGCAAATAATGCACTAGTTATGACGTGGTTGTTGCAGTCCATGCAGCCACAGATCAGCAAAGGGTTTTTGTTTGTGAAAACAGCTAAAGAGCTATGGACAGCTGTGGAAGAGACGTATTCCTCGGTTGGTAATTTTGCAAAACTGTATGAACTCCAACAACAAATTTCAAGATTCAAGCAGGAAGACCAAACTCTTGCTACATGTTACCACACTCTACGTGGTAAATGGGAAGAGTTAGATCACTACTAAGACTACATACCCGTGTGTGCAGTTGATGTTAAAGCATTTCATGCTATGGTAGAAAGGAATCGAATCTATGAGTTCTTGGGTGGTCTACATCCGAGATACGAGCATGCCAGGGTACAAGTGTTAGGCAGGTATCCGGCCCCTACTTCCTTTTAGAGATGTGTTTTCATATATCTAAGTTGAGGGGAATAGAATGAAGGCTATGTCTGCACCTGTATTACACTAAGCCAGAGCCAGAAGTACCATTGTCTGAGAGGTCTGGTCTTGCCACACAACAATGGAACAAGACCAATCCTCCAAAAGAAGGGAAACAGGATGACAAAAGCAAGTTGAGGTGTGATCACTGTGGGCGTATGCGCCACACTAGGGAAACATGCTGGAATCTAACACAGTCGCCCTACTCTAGCTTATGCTAATGCGAATGCTAGGCCAAGGCCTGGTCCATTTAGGGGTTATCTACGACACATACTGCAGAGCGTGAGACTGCTTTTACTGGTCATGCCTCCTCAAGGCCACCGAGTTCTTTGTCCGGGGCTGAACTTGATGCTCTCCGACATCTACTAGCACAATATTCCTCCGTCTCCACCTCTAACTTCGCTCAGACAGATACCTCTCATTCGGCACATCAGGTTTCCACATTATCTGGTGGACCACCTTGGAACATTGATTCAGGAGCCACCGATCACATGACTAATATGGCATTTGATTTTTCTTCGTATAGTTTATGTTCTGGTAAGGATAAGGTTAGAGTAGCTGATGGCACCTTCACCTCCATTGCGGGGAAGGGCACTGTTTCTGCCTCTCCTGATCTTACCTTATCCTCTGTTCTTCATGTCCCGAAGTTTACTAATAACCTCCTTTCTGTTAGTCACATTACAAAAGGCTTGAATTGTAGTGTAATTTTTTTTTCCATCTCACTGTGTGTTTCAAAACTTGGACACGGGGAAGACGATTGGAAGTGGACATGAGGACAATGGCTTGTATTTGCTGAACGCGAGGCCAACTTCTTATTATGTTGCAAATCAATCTAGTGTTAGGAATGGTACTATCAATAAAGATCTGTTAATGCGATAGCATAATAGACTAGGTCATTTACCTCTTCCTGTTTTGAAGCATGTGCTTCCCTAGTTTGCTTCTGTTGAATCTTTTGAGTTAAATTGTGAAACATGTGTTTTTGCCAAACAATGTCATGTTTCTTATCCTACTAGTATTAATAAAAATATAACTCCTTTGCAGCCTGTTCATTCTGATGTGTGGGGTCATGAATCTACTACTTTGTTACTTGGTTTTCGTTACTTTCTTGTGTTTGTTGATGACTTTAGTCGATATACTTGGCTTTATCTTATGAAAACCAAAAATGAAGTTCATTCCATTTTTAAAACCTTTCATAGGATGGTATGTACTCATTTTGGTTGTCCCCTCAAAATCCTTCGATCTGATAATGGAGGAGAGTTTATGTATGGTGGTCTTGCTTCCTTTTTTGCTGATAACGGGATTGTCCATCAAGTCTCTTGTGTTAATACACCACAACAGAATGGTGTAGCTAAAAGAAAACACCGTCATATTATGGAGGTGACCCGTTCTCTTCTAATTAGGATGGGAGTGCCTAAAAGTTATTAGGCTGATGCAAACCTTAAAAGCTACATACCTTATCAATCGCATGGCTTTTAAGGTTCTTGGCTATCAATCCCCCTTCTCTGTCTTACACCATGACACTGCCTTGTTTACTGTCCATCCGAAAGTGTTTGGTTGTGTTTGTTATGTTCACATTGATCATCGTAAGGACAAAATGGACCCTAAGGCAATCCGATGTGTCTTTCTTGGATACTCCGCCACTCAGAAAGGGTATTGGTGTTATAACCCTACCACTCGTCGTCACTTTGTCTCCATGGATGTTACATTCTTTGAGTCTGTTCCTTTTTTTTCCACTGCTCGGGATTCTCTACAGGGGGAGACTACTATACAGGTAGAGGATCCGTTATCCATTCAAAGGGAATGCCCCCTTCCTTTGCCTGTTCCCATTCAGGAGGAGCTTCTTACTGAGGTGCCTATGTCTAGTCCTTCTAACACTAATGATTTGCAGTAGGGAAAGCAACCAATTGTCTACACTAGGAGGGCAAAACAAGTTTTTGACTCACCTAGGACCAAGAAGTCTCCCTCGATCCAGGTAATTCCTTAGTTGACATTGATACTCCTAATTCTTTTCCCAATAGCATTCCTGTTGATCTTAATGTCCCTATTGCCTATCGTAAGGGTGTTCGTAGTTGTACAAAGCATCCCATATCTCAGTTTGTTTCCTATGATGGTTTATCTCCAACATATCGTGCTTTCACTTCATGTATCTCCTATGTATCTGTTCCTCCTAGTGTTTCAGATGCTCTCAATCAAACTCCATGGAAGAAAGCTATGCTTGAAGAAATGAAGACCCTTGAGAAGAATGGTACTTGGGATATTGTTCCATTACCTAGGGGTAAGAAACTAGTAGGCTGCAAATGGGTCTACGCAGTAAAGTATCATGCAGACGGAACAATTGAGAGATATAAAGCTCGGTTAGTTGCAAAGGGTTTCACTCAAGACCTATAGAATTGATTATTTGGAAACATTTGCTCCAGTTGTATACGTGTTCTTATTTCTTTGGCAGCTAATTTGAATTGGCCCTTACATCAGCTAGATGTAAAGAATGCTTTCCTGCTTGGTGACTTGGAGGAAGAGGTGTATATGACTATGCCACCAGGGTTTAAGCTTGCTAATGATCAGAATTTAGTGTACAAGCTAAATAAAGCTTTGTATGGGTTAAGGCAGTCGCCACGTGCTTGGTTTGAGAGGTTCAACACTGCTGTGAAAATAGTAGGGTACACACAGAGTCAGGCAGATCATACTCTCTTCATCAAGAAGCACCAGGGCTGCACCACTTCCCTTATTGTATATGTTGATGATATTGTTATCACTGGAAATAATCCAGAAGAGATTCGTCGAATGAAGTCATTCTTTGGAACAGAGTTCGAGGTTAAAGACCTCGGATCATTGAAATACTTTCTTGGCATCGAGGTGTGCAGATCGAAGAAAGGGGTGTTCATTCTCAACGAAAGTATGTGTTAGATTTGTTGGCTGAAACAGGCAGGCTTGGAGCTAGACCTATTGATATTCCCGTTGAGCAGAACCATAGGCTTAATAATGTAAATGGAGACCCATTAGATGATGTGGGAAGATTTCAGCAATTGGTTGGGAGACTGATTTACTTATCTCTCATGCGCCCGGATATTGCCTACGCTGTTAGTGTGATTAGTTACTTTATACATGCTCCACGTTCACCTCACCTTGAGGCAGCTCATCATGTTCTTCGCTACCTCAAAGGTTCACCTAGTAAGGGGATATTGTTTGGCAGTCATGGCCACTTGCGTGTTGAAGCCTATACTGATACTGATTGGGCAGAGTCTGTGACAGATCGACGATCTACTTAAGGATATTGCACATTTGTTGGAGGTAATCTTATTTCATGGCGAAGCAAGAAACAGTGGTAGTAGCTAGATCTAGTGCAGAGGCTGAGTTCAGTTCCATGGCATATGGAGTTTGTGAGTTGTTATGGCTACGTACGATGTTGGGTGAGTTAGGTTATCCTGTTCACGAGTCAATGAAGTTGTATTGTGACAACAATGTTACTATTAGCATTGCCCACAATCCAGTTCAACATGACATGACAAAGCACATTGAAGTCGATCGACACTTCATCAAGGAAAAGCTTTGTCTTGGGCTGATTTGTACTCCATACGTCAAAACACATGATCAGGTTGCTAATGTTTTGACTAAGGGTGTGAGCAAGACTTGCTTGCAAAATATGTTAGTCAAGCTGGGCATGATAGATATCTTTGCACCAGCTTGAGGGGGAGTGTTGTCAGGGGCTTATTTGTTATTACTTATATAATGTTGGGGTTTATGTGTAATTTTTGAAACTTGTAAATATAAATAGAATGTGGTGGAAGGATGAAAATATTCTTTCATTCTTTCTCTCTTTCCCCTCTCTCTCTCTCTCTCTCATTCGCTTTCTTCTCTTTTTCTTCTTCTTTATCACTTACTTTCGATTTGATTATATCTTAAAGTCAACAGGTAGGTGTGATACCCCTCAATTCCGAAATGCGGGTTGAACAGGTCTGCGCACAAGACCGAGGGATATCAAGCAATACGAACACAGAATACAAAAAGATAAAAAATAAAGAAATAATATCGCAAAAGGGAAAACTAAATAATAATCAAATAAACAATAAATCCTCTAAATGAATCCATTAATTCCCAAAGATAAATATAATCCACAAATTCCCAAATATAATTAATTCTCCAAAAATACAACTCGGGAATCCCTAACATGGATCCCTAATAAAATCCCATAACTGAAATAAATATAATTGTCTAAAATTGAAATAAATAATCATGAAGTAAAATCCTATGTCGACGACATCGGAAGAGTGATGTAGACAAGTCTCTGGTCTGCACGAGCAACCTTTAATCCTGCTACTGACGAGGACCTGAAAAATATAACAAAGGTGGGTTACAACCCACAAATAAGTTATTTCTACGACAACCCAAACATAAAGCTGATGAACGATACACCCCTATCTAACTCATGCTATAACTAAATAGTCGATAGGTATATAATAAACACACTAAAGACTCTCACTAGACTAAAGCAGACTTAACCGAATAGTGAGTATCTCATGCAAAGCGCACACAAAGGTAGTCACAAGTCCTCCTTCTACCAAGGCACCCACATCCCTATATCCAGCTACCCATATCAACTGGCAATATACGCCTCCTTCCTAACCACTGAACACGAGACCTCAAGCTTGTATCATGATACATAATATCAATATAGATATAACTAACCATATCCTGACAATGGCACACCAAAAACAACCATACCTATATCCTAACAATGGGTTGGAAACATATAAATTAAAATAGCCATATCCTAACAATGGCATGCCATCCATATCCTGACAATGGCATGACATAGAACCATATCCTGATAATGGTTCCCAAACAATCCACACATATATAGATCATGTATAAGATCATATAAAACAACTACGCACATGATTACAATCATAATATGAAGTATTGCATTTATTACAACAATTTAACATTTAATACATCACATGAATAACTTATAAGTTATCTAAAACCTCCTACCTTAGTTATTTCAACATAATCAGAAATATACGCATGCTGATAATTTATCTTTCCAGCAAATAAAGAGATCTACAATCTTATCTCATGCTAAACATTTGACCTCACATGTTAAAACAGTTTATAAGATTAAATTTACAAATTCATATTTGAATTAATCCCATTGACATGCATCGTTACTATCATGCCTTTTTTTAATTCGCGTGTCATTGTTCTTAAGTCCCTATTTATTGTTCGGGCCCTTAAATAATCAATTCGGGGCCAAACGGAACGCGTTTACCCAAAAATACACATTTTCTCTCTCTCGCCCCTCTCTTTCTCTCGCCTCTCTCTCTTCTTTTCTTTTCCCAGACTACATATACATATATATACACACACACACTACATATAACCCTAGTCCTAACACACGTCTGAAAAAACATAAAATAAAACTAATTACAATAATAAATAATTATTATAATAAAACATAGCATATATATACACAACATTATATATATATATATATATACCCATCCCCATGGTTTAATATCCAACCCATCTAAGATCCCTTCCAAATAGTCCAAGACCCATCTAGTTTGTCCAAGAATTACAAGCCCAATCCATAATCTTTTAAAATAAAATGAAAATAAAATAAACAAACCATTTAACTAAACAATTAAACATTTAAAAGCCATTTAATTAAATAAACACATCACACATGAAATCAATTAAAAGAATGCACATACACAATTAGACACATCAATAAATTTAAATTAAACAAAATAAAAATAAGTGAAACAACTAAAAGCAAATAATCAAATAGTTACATAATTAAATAAAAATGCGATTAAAACACTTAAATAAATCTCCAAAAATTAGAGGTATTACAGTAGGTAAAGTGAATAAGCACCTCGATTATTCTGTTCATTAATTGCCAATGTCAGTCATGATTGTCTAACCTACATTGCTGCTTGAAGTTCTTATTCTGCCCCTACAACATGCTCAAGCCTATGGATCGCACTAAAGATGTAATTTAATTAAAAGAATAAGAACAAGCAAAGGATTTTGTCATGTTGGATCTGGAGGAGGGTTTCTACTTTTATAATAATTTGTTCTAGTTTGGTAATTCCTGTACGGTCCTTGCTTATTGGAGTACAGATTGCTTGGAAAAATAGCAGTTTTCTTCTGCGGTAATGTATTCTTATCTCATATCTGTGCATGTTAGAGTGCATGTGCCTTTGACAGGTTATGTGTGTGCTTGTGTCTCTGAAGTTGCATTTCTTGCTATTGATTAACTTCTCTCAAGTATAAACCCTAATAAATAAAATTTGTTAATTATTGATCAACAGATACTGGTCAAAAGGATTCAAAAGATACAGCTAGCAATACTGTTGACTACAAGAAAGGAAAGTGTATTAAAGTTCCAAAAATATATTGGAACCTTACTCGTAAAGCTGTGCTCACAATGGAATGGATCGATGGAATTAAGCTTACAGATGAAGCCCGACTGAAAAAGGCCTTCTTAAATCGGAAGGAGCTCATAGACCAGGTATTGAGTTGCAATTTTCTTAGTTAGGTCTCATGCACTATTGGTGCTTGCATGTTGTGTATCTCAAGTTTGTGATCCCTTTTTATTGGCTTCATAGGGATTATACTGCTCTTTGAGGCAATTGCTTGAGGTGGGGTTTTTCCATGCTGACCCTCATCCAGGAAACCTTGTTGCTACTGATGATGGATCTCTTGCTTATTTTGACTTTGGAATGATGGGTGATATTCCACGCCACTACCGTGTTGGACTTATTCAAGTGGTAAGAACTTCTACATTTGATTACTTGCATAAGAAGGAGCTCCAAATGCAATTTCTAATTATTCTTATCTGGTTTTGAACTTGTTTAACCTCGAGTCCCTTCAAAAAAATTATTTTTATCTGATTTTGAACCCTTTTTCTTTGTGTTGCTAAGTGTATATTTGGAGATTGCTCACTTCATTTTCTATAGGTAGGTATGATGCGCTTTAATCTGTTATTTTTCATCGTTCTATCTTGCTTATGTTGGCTTCTATCTCTAAAACTGGAGTGACAGTGGTTTGCATGTGTCATGGTGTGCGGAGAAGCTCATGTTTTGTTGAGATCCTCAAATGAATGATACTTTTTTGGTGTACTCCATTTGTTACTGGTTAGTACATGAAGTAGGTTACCTGATGGTTAGCCTGTCAAGCATGGATCTTCAATAAATGAGAAATGAAGTGGTAAATGACCTAAATGAGTTACTATCTGTTTTTTTTTTTTAGTTGGTAAACACACACACACATCCCTCCACTGAGACTTGAACCCTTGACCTTCCTTTGGGAAGTAGGCGCCTGGTACCGCTAGGCCACTAGCCTGTTGGCAAGTTACTGTATGTTTGTGTGGAGAGTTTGATCATTACTCTAAGTTTTTAAACCTAGTTGTCTTACATGTGTTTCCTTCAGAAAGAATCAATAAACTGTATGAAATTTAAGATCATTACTAAAAAAAATGTCCAACCTTTCCACTAGAATATACTTATCATGTACACTTGAGGCACAGTGAGGATCCTAATATTTTTTTGGAAGATTAATTAATTAATGGATAAAATGTTAAGCGAGTTGCATGAACATTATACTATAATTATTAGAAGAGGAGTGTTTTAATGCATAACTGTACTACAACGGGGGGAGAGAAAACCATTCTCTATAGTTGTTCAAAACGATTACACTCATTCCTTCATCCTAGCCTTGAAATAGGCTGTGAGGATTGCAGCAACCATATTCCAATATATTATTATGCCATTAACATTTAATTGGAGTGGAGTCATCTAACTATAAATATTTTTATAGTGAGGAACACACATCAATCTATGCTCACCCCTGTAATGCACATTTTTCTCTTTGTGTGGGCTGCATTTACATAATCTAATTATTCTTCCAGTTTTTCTTAATTAATTCTCCTTTCTGTTGGTTGTCAGGCCTCTAATATAAAATATCTTAATGTCTTTGTGAAATCTGTTTCCTCTACCTGTGGTGCCGAGGATTGAATGAAAGCTTACTAATGTACTTTTTTCATTTTGTAAAGATATTACTTTTGATGAAGAAAATGTTTTGGCACTAGTGGTTTAAGGCCCAATGTGTGAAATTTATATTTGGTAATGGCAACCACACTGCTAGGTTTCTGAACATGGAATGTTCTATTTTAACATGGAGACTGAACAAGGAATCTCTTCTAAATCTATACATGCACACATTCAGATCTGCATGTACGTGTGAAATCATTCTATCAGATATACATTTATCAGCTATATTTTTGTATGTGGAATAACCATGAGAATGAATAATGAAGAATAAAAGAAACAAACGACTTGATAACTTGTTCCATGAGGAGAAGGCCTACACCACTTGTACTCCTGCGTCCTTTTAAGTAAAGGGTGGTATGTTTTTTTGGAATTATATGCCTGTACAGAGATGTCATGTCTGAGTTCAAATTGCTGATTGCCAGAAGGGTGGTGTTGTGCTGCATATTATATGTCGACTGACTACCTGAAAGTTGGTTTGGTCTTAAATAAACCAATAGGCAACCCAACACTACCCATGCCTGAGAATGTGTACAGCAACTGAATGCATTTCGTATCTTAAGCTGTGTAGATAAACGAATGTGCTTGTACATTTGTTTCTTTGGAGGTTCGTAGTGAAGGCTTTTCTTTCTGATGCCATTTTGAGTCATTCAGTCTTAGAAAAGTGTGATACTCGAATCCTGAGCTCATTCTTGGCACATCTAATCGAGCTTGGCCTTGAGTCTAGATTCTAGAATGTTGCCACACAAAGTTTGGAATATTTGAATCAGACTCTTTTACAAGTTAGATATTCTGCTCCTTGGTTTGGTTTTAAATCGATAAATATGCTTAGCTTAACCTGCCGAAGTTAAAGTTTGAAGCGATTGAATATTATTTGTCTCTGACTTCAGCGTTTCCAGTCTTTTCCATTGATTTATATTGCTCTCTTTTTTCTTTTTACTAAGGTTCCTTGTAGAGAAGAAGATAATTAAACAGGCATGAAAAGAAAAGATAAATAATAGTTCAAAATTATGGAGCAGTTTTTCATTTTGATAAATTGATCATCACTTCTACATTGAGTAATGCACCTATTAGGAAGGTCCGGTATATTAACTTCATCTATTTTTTCTGTCTATTTTTCTTGTTTTGCATCATTAAGTAATGTCATTCCCGCTAAATTTAATTGTGCATTTCCTCTCTTTTCAGTCTTTGCTTCCTGTTTGTTAACTCTTATTTATTTCTCTTTTCTGTTTGCTATCACCTCTTTCCTTTTTCTTTTTCTTTTTCTTTTCTCCCATTTTTTTTTTCTGTCCTTTTTTCTTTTTGATTGATAAGCGATAGTATTTTAACCCTTTGCCCCACCCTGTTCTTTTAGGGTGCCATGCTAGCACTTTACTATTGTATTGTAAATTTGTAATGGTTTTGACCTTTTTTGTTGATTCATGTTCAAATTGTAAACTTGCCCCAAAGTCAGTAGTCTGTTTTAGGCTCTGTCACTCGAGGCTTTCTTCTCCTTTGTTTTCTCCTATCTGTTTGATGTTAACAGTTGCAGCATTTTTTGCATGATGCTTTATAGTTGATTTGCTTTTGTTTCTTTCAGCTTGTGCACTTTGTTAATCGTGACTCTCTGGGTTTGGCAAATGACTACCTCTCTCTGGGATTTCTCCCTGAAGGGGTTGATATATTGTCAGTTTCAGATGCTCTGAAAGCATCCTTTGGTGATGGCACTAGACAATCCCGGGATTTCCAGGTCCGTATTGGTATTGTGCCTGTGTACTTCTTTTTCATTGTTTGGCCTTTCGCTGAAATATTCATAGAATGAAAGCACTAAGTTACCTTAACCTAGATATGTAATCGAGTCTTGAGAGAGTTTTGATGTGTTCTTTGTTACTATCCATTTCCTCTATCCTTTAATGGTCGTAGACAACTGATTATTAACACTATGACATAAACAACCCAAGTTTTGAGTAGAAAATTGTCTAACACGACTCATATGATGCATATTACATATGTCTGACGTAAAAGAAAGGAATTGATTGCTCTAGAAGAGCAATCAATCACTTTACTGTAGAATGGAAAGATCAATCCTTTGTGCAGAATGCCAGCCCAATTGCATATTTTTCAAAAAAGACAAGTTTACAGGTCAGAAAAAGTTTTTAAAACCTACTATGCTGTGATTAGGGTTCACAAATGCTATAAGTTGCCCGAAGGTTTCTTTTATATAGTTACGAAGAGGCTACACAAGTAATACACAACTTCTAGAGATGAGTACGCACTTACAGCTTTGAGATCTGTCTTTGGTGAATATATGTCTAAATACACTTTGTTTCCATGAGAGATTCTTTTCTTTTATCACACATAGACCTTGTGACATTGATCAAGTTAAATAATATGTGCAAATATAAATGGATCAATAGCGGAACACTGCATGTATCGCTCTACCTTACGAAATTCCCAAGACCATTTCAAGTCAAAGGGGTGAATCCCAGAAGCGGCGGGGCAAATCCTATGGTCAACTTCCTTAGGCGGAGGGATGGTTGAGCCTGCTAGTGGAGAGGTCGGTCCCTAAGGGAAGGTCCAAAAGTGAAAGCGAAAAACGGACCTTAGCCCATAACACTTCATTTTCATGAGAGATTAATTTTTTTTCTCACACATATACCTTGTGGCATTGAGTGAAGTTAGAGAATATGTGTGTGGTTTGACTATCATCATGCATTGTTAATGGAAATATTGAAAGAGCAACAGACGATAGAGTTTCCTTCCTGTTTTCATCACTGGATAAAGACCTTGTCTTGTGTAGGTTGGTCAAGGTTTACTGCATGTAAAAGGGTTCCCTGGAAGAGCAAGATTTTACAAGAGATTGCAATGAAATGGGCGAATCGCAAGGAGACTGGATTCATTTATCTATAGTTGCAAGACTTAAGTTGTCTGGTCTGGCGTAAGTTAGGTGATTCCTAGGCATAAGAGTTTGGAACCTACTGTTTTGGTCTATTACGACTTTTGTGTCTGTCTAAGGTCTTCTGCGCACTAATCTCACATACATGCTTCGGGAGTTCTTCAGTTCAATATCTAATATAAGAGGTGGCCACTTTGCTTAATAGCAAAACCTTTTTAATCATGCTGCATGGGTTCTCTTTACAGGGTGAAATCTCTGTTTTGGACACCATGCCTTGGCTGCTCTAACAGAGTCAAATCTGTCTTTGCAGATGGAAATACTTCAATATCCTTGATAAATTCTTATCGTTATGAACTTTAAATTTTGTTTAGCATCCACTGTGTTTAGCATCCACTGTATATAATAACTTAATAAGCGAACTGATCTCCTGTGAGTTTGTTGTTAACCTGTGGATCATCCTTAGAATTGTGGGAGTGCAGCCTTGGTATTCTATAATGAATTTTAATGAGAAAGGAAAGGGGTAGTGATTGGACTTTTGGTTTAAGTCAGTTTTTTCCCTACTTGGTTTATTTATTTTCTACAAATTGGTTAAGAATATCAATATGAACCATCGTTCTAAACTGTTATTCGAGTTACCATATTGGTTTTATGTCCAAATTTTGAATAATTTATTTTGATAACTTGGAATAACTATTCATAAGAATAGTATTGATTTTAAGATGAACTCCATATTGTTATGTGCCTTTATACCCTTTAAAGCATTGAATTTGTCGAAAAATTTAAATAACTGCTGCTTAAATTATCATTTTTATTTTCATCTCCATGCTATATATCATTGCACAAAATACTTCTTCAGGGGATTTTGGAGGAATATACTGACAATTTAATTTGTATGTTGCATTTGATTCAGGCCATAATGAGCCAACTGTATGATGTTATGTATGACTTTAACTTTTCTCTTCCACCGGACTATGCCTTGGTGATAAGAGCGCTGGGATCACTTGAAGGGACTGCAAAAGCTTTGGATCCTGATTTCCAAGTTATTGAGAGTGCATATCCTTTTGTTGTTGGAAGGCTTTTGGCAGACCCAAATCCTGATATGAGGAAGATATTAAGGGAGCTTCTTATCTGTAATGATGGCTCCATTAGGTGGAATCGGCTAGAACGGCTGGTAGGTTCTCTATCTTTTGGTTTTTTCATGCAGTCTAGTTCTAAATTTCTTCAGCGAATGTAAATTTAAGGAATAAATAATTCTTTAAGTTAATTCACATTTTCTGGATTTACACTTCATGAGTTGACCCTTCGAAAGAATACGGCTGATGATTTGTTTAAGTTTTTGTCAGTAATTAGTTTTGATGTTGTAATTAAAATCTTATCAGTGTAAATGAATTTTAGTTTTCAGTTGCATTACTGAGTAAACTACATTCAAATTTATTTCTGCTCTACTAGAATTTTCTTCCATGTGAAAATCACTATTACATCAATGTCTATACTATTATTAGACCAGTCTTTGTAGTCTTAATGCTTGAAGATATTTTTGCATCTGAACCCAACTTGATCTCACTAGGCTGGAGATGGAAAGCCTATGAGCCCGTGACTTGATCTCACTAGGCTGGAGATGGAATGCCTAATTGTCTTCTTTTTTTTTTCCTTGTCATTTAACAATAAGATTGAGGTAAATGGGTAGAAGTACAATGGGGAAAAGCAAAAAGGTCTACTGGAAACAAACAGAACACAAATGAATTACAACAAAGGAAAGAATGTTCCAGGATCGAAGCCCTACCTTAGCTAAAAGGTTAGTTTCCCATTTGTTGATAAGCAACAATAAGTCGAAACCAATTCTGCAGATGTTTAAAAACTCAACCATGATGTAGGAATAAATTTATGGGCTTGAGATATACTTTTGTTCAACAAGAAGGGAGGAGTCGCTTTTTACTGTGAATAATCAACCCAAGACTTTTTACTTTATTGAGTCTAACCAATAAGGTTAACACAGTTGGTTTGATAGTGTGGCCCTCCACTCCTGGTGAGTAAGTATATATTTAGAAAAGGTGTTTCCTCCATCATCCTTAGGTATTGCCAATGGCATTTTGACCTTGGTTGGTACCACACAAAACAGTGCCAAGTGATTTCCCTTGTGAATAGTAGCACCATGAAGGTTGGTAGCAGTACAAACAACTATTGTATTCTTTATTGTGAATAAACTGTTGTGTCCTAGTGTGGTTCCTACATCAACATGATTGAGAGATCTTATTACATGTTGCCCCTCATTCCTAATCTATCACACCAATATTATATGTGTGCATGCAGGGAATTCTATGAAGCAAAATGTGCTGAATCCCACAAAATGATGCCATTGTAATTAGTTATTCCATCTTTTTTGGCACCATGCAAATATCTTGGATTGATTGAGTCCTGTAAAATCCCTTCATCCTCGAGTCTTGAAGTTACTTCGGCTTGTGTTTTATCTTCAATTGCAAGCAGTAAGACACAAATAATCCTTCTTTAATGATACTATATAAACCAAAAAAGGAATGTTAACCTTGGCACTGAATTTTCTAGAGAAATCTTGCTTGCCTATCGAGGATCTGACTTCCACAAGGCATACTACAAGCCGTCAAGCTAGTCCTTTATGGCTATAGCCTTTGCCTTCAGACCTGCTTCACTTGCTGATTGATTGGAAGGATAATGAACTTCCCGTTCTTCTTTCGCCGAGAACTTAGTGCATCTTTCTGCTCTCCATCAAAGTCACAGACCTTATTGTGCAATTTGTCTTCCAAATCCTCCTATAATGTTAAACAAGAATCCGTAGCTGCATGTGGTACTTCTATTGTTTGTGAATTATGAACAAAAAAAATTCATATACTTTGGGACTTTAAAGCTGCGGCTGTCAGAAAATCATGTAATAGTAGCTTCTCACAGTGTGCATTTAGTCAGTCAATTAATTAACTGCTAGGTTGAGAGTGTTTGTTTGTTAGTGGTTGTTTGTCCTGGAATTGGTGTGTATAGAGGTCCATGTTAGTAATACAGATCAAGCTGATTGTAGTTGATCAGGATTAGAAGATTTTTGACACTGGAATTTTGAATTCGGTTAAGATTTGATTCTCTTTGTAGTCAATAATGTTATGTAATTGAACAGGATATCTTTCTCTTGCACATGTAATATTAGTTGACATAATGGCAGTAGTGACAAAAAGACATGATGGTATTGGTAGAGAAAGGATAAGACGGCTATAATCAACATAGCTTGAGTTAGTAAACAAAGACATTTTAGTGTAGTTTGACCAAAATTAAGGTCCCCAAGGCTAGTAAAATGATGGAACATGTAGCTGACTCCAAAATGTTACGACAAGGCTTCATTTCGAGTTGAGTACTCATTTTGAAAATTTTCCATAATTTCATGCAGATAATCCATGGTCTTATAATTGCTTTCAAAAAAATATTATTTGGATATTTGATGTTAATGTAGGATTTATTTGCTTTTTGTAACTTGAATTCATCTCTATATCTATTTGAGAAATGAAAATGCCAATATTTTTCTTGTAATGACGTGCAAATGATGTCTCTTTTTTGTTTTAGATAGCAGCAATAACAGAACAGGGTCCTCAGTCCACAGGGGAACCCCCTAATGCTAAAGAAAAATCTTCAAATCATTTGGGATGGAAGTCCTTTGACATGCGTGCTGTTGTTGCTGCCACAGAAGATCTTTTCCTATTTATCCTGTCTGATAAGGGTCTGAGAGTTCGTGTTTTCCTTGTCCACGACATAATAAAAGCGGCTGATGTTTTTCTACAGGATGAAATTGTTGCTAGCATTTTCGACGGGAAGGTTCAAGTCAAAGGCACATCAGAATCTGAGGTTTGTTTATATTGTTATGTTGTGTAATCTCACTGTTGTCTCCAATAAATGATCTCTTGAATGGCTTAAATACTTGAAAATAATTCACTCCTGAACTAATTTCTCAAACAAAATAGGTAATTATAGAAGCAACTATCCTTGAAGTTTTGGTAGTCATCTTGCTTCGAACTGAATGCCTTCATTAAGCATATCTAACCTGATTTATAGTTACTTTTGAAGCATTTCAATCATTGCTAATTATCCCCTGATTAATTGCAAGGTACTCGTTTTATCTTTTTATTTATTAAAAAAAAATAATAGAAAAAAATCCACCATCTCACAATATAGTTGTTGCTATGTTATGTCTCCTCAAAATTGGCCTCTTGGCACACCTTAAGCATGTTATTGATTAAATACTTTCGGCATGTTAATTATATTTCTACCTGCTGCTTCACTGACCTTTTGAACATGTGTAGTGAAGTCAGCAAAAATATTCTTTGTTTATTGTGTTTTATTTTTTGCCTTTTTCGCCTTTTACAAATTTCACATTATTATATGGAGCTAGACATGCCTATATTGCAAACCTCTACAGAGATGGTATTCATTTTCGTAGGTCTGGCTTTATTGAAATTTGCCATGTCTGGAAAACATTCTGAAATGTTGTTTATGCAGCGGTAATTTGGCGTAAGCTCCTTAATGGTAAAGATACAAAGAGGGATGGATATAATATATACAGAAATGTCATCTTACGTCATTTCTAATAGTAATCACGATCTATATTAATGTATAGAAATGTTATCTCACGTCATTTTTAGCATTATAATAACCACCATGATTATCATTATTGATGATTTTGCAGGGACATGCAATGCTCATGCGGGTGGTTAACGGGTTTCAATCCCTTTGGTATGCGGTAAAGTTGGCCCCGGAGGTCTGGACTGCTATGCTGCTCCGTATGGCATTAAAGCCTGAGGTTCACAGGTTCACTTTCGACATTATTTCAGCCTTAGTGCAACATTCTAGCCATAGAATTCCAGAAACATTCTGGGTTTGTATATCTAGACTTCTCCACAAATTGGTGAATTACAATCCTGATGATTTATAATTTGGTTTATAGTATACAATATATATTTTTTTTCACCCTGTTAATCATTTCTATTTGGTGCCCCTATACAAGCAAAAGGAGAATTTGATTTCTAGATTTAATAGAAGAGAAATTCCCAGGATTTAAGTGCAATTGGGTGGAATCAGGTGACAATCGATGGTTAATTACCAAGTCTGTATGATATTGGGATTTATCACTCGTCCAAAGAGGATCTCGACAACTCTCTTGTTAACAATGAAAAAGAATTTTTTTTTTTTTTTAGGCTTTATTCGTCTACATGGAATTGGAGTTTTGGAATTTGAATTGGAACTGACAAAAATTTTAGTTCAATTTTCTTCAATTCTACCGATTCTGATTTCAAATTTTCAATTTTATCAATTTTAATTCCAAAATTCCAATTCTATCGGGATGTAATCTGGTTTTTGTAAAGGCTCTGCTTGGATGTTAACTTTGGACTTGACACATGAATGTTCACGTGACATTCACGCGGAAGGGGATTATTTTTGTTGCCAACAACCAAATGTTACTACTGTAAAGTTGTTTTTGTTACTCCAATTTAGTTTTAGGATTATTTAAGTCTATTTTCTAGAGTCTATATAAAGGAATCTTGAGAGTCTATAAAATTGAGAATCTTTTGTGAGTTTTAGATTCGTTTGTTTGAATGTAAAATATGTTTTGAAAAATATTTTTTGTGTTTTGGGTGTTTGGTTGTCATAAAATGTTTACAAAAAAACAAAATATATTAAAATTTAGCAAAAATGATTTATTCTTTAATTTTTGACAAGTAATTTTATAGGTAGGACTTCATCTAAACTTTTGTTAAACATCAATAAAAATAAAAATAAAAAATAGATATTTTACTTGAATTTGTGGATTTCCTTAGTGAGACGACTAAACGAAAAGAAAAAGAGAGTATAATATAAATCCTTCAAGTAGTTGGTGACTAACTTGGGCAAGCTTCAGTTACATCACTAGTCAATTCGCAGTATACCAAACTTTTGGGCAACTTGGTCGACATACTCTCCTATTTATCTGAAAGTTAATTAAAAATATAAAAATATAAAATATAAAGGTATAATCAGGACATATTATGCTCAATGATTATACTTTTCAGGACATGTTATGCTTAATCATTAAATTATACTTTCCTATCTATCTGAAGGGTATAATGGGGACATATGATGCTTAATGATTGTGCATAGTGTGTTAAGGAAGGAAACACGCGCGCGCGAGTACAATTTATAAAAGCAAATAGGACCTAAGCATCAAGCATGAAATGTAAAATAATTTATGTCTATCATTATAGATTTGGATTTGAATAATTTGATATTTGATTCCTTTTCCCTGAATATTTTAGAAATTTTTTTCTTTTTCTTTTTTGGACATATGATTGGAAGGTGTATAGAGATTTTAGAAAAAATAAATTAAAAATCATTCGAGTGAAGGTTTGGAAATAGACTACCAAGTCCAGTAGATGATTTAAGTTTATGAGTAAAGTGGATGTGTGATGTATTTTTTAGAGAAAAAAATACAAAATGAGGTTTAAAATATCATTTTTGAGAATTCATGGGTATTCTGACTGGCTTTAGGAGATTTTTTTTGAGAGTGTGGTATTTTTTTGGATGAAATTAATATACAGATATATAATATAAGGATTAAGGAAACAATTTAGGAGAAAAAAATAAGAAATATATATAGAATTCTACGAGGGAAGGAGGAAATTCAAGGGGACACTTTTCATATACAGTATTTTCATAAAAATATATATATATTATTATAACTCCTTCCATCCTGGCCACAAGGCCTTTGATGCACTATGAGTTACATCTTGGGTAATTTTTTAGAAAATAGAAAAATGAAAGTGTTTTTAATTAATCATTCCGGAAGTTTTTATGTGTTAAGGGAAATTGAAAGTTGATGGATATGGAAATGATATCCCCAAGTAGTATTGAAATAATAAAGATTGAAATGTCATTTTCAGTTTTTATTTCTTTGAAATTTATGGAGATAGCAAAATGACAAAGCTAGAAAATAACTTTGAAAATATATATATATATATTGGAGAAGAAAAATATAAAGACTTGCATATTCCAACACACATCATTTTGTTGAAAAGAAAAGAAAAGAATCCTTGTGAAAATTAAATTCAGACATTGAAGTGAACAGGTTAATATAGTTTTTAAAAAGACGTGTATTAATTAAGGCAACGAATTGGTAAACTAGGTTGTGTGCTAATCACTTTGACTATTCCTCTCTTATTAAAAATTCAACAAAATATAATGGAAAATGGCGAGAACTAGGTTATTAAAGAATGGCTTTGACAAAATAACATTTTTCGATTTTGTACTAAATCATGAGAATAAAATGGGAAGATGTGAGGTGATGGGAAATAGATGTTTAGATTCCTTTTTGGAGGAAAAATGGAAATAAAGGTTGAAGTATTTTTTTGAGATTTAAAAAAAAAAAAATGGTTAGCAAAGGAGAAGGATTCAATTTATTTTTTGTTATTAAAAATGTTTTTTTTATTTTTTATGATGGGAAATAGATGTTTAGATTCCTTTTTGGAGGAAAAATGGAACTAAAGGTTGAAGTATTTTTTTGAGATTTAAAAAAAAAAATGGTTAGCAAAAGAGAAGGATTCAATTTATTTTTTGTTATTAAAAATGTTTTTTTTATTTTTTATGATGGGAAATAGATGTTTAGATTCCTTTTTGGAGGAAAAATGGAAATAATGGTTGAAGTATTTTTTTGAGATTTAAAAAAAAAAATGGTTAGCAAAAGAGAAGGATTCGATTTATTTTTTGTTATTAAAAATGTTTTTTTTTTTTTTAAAAAAAAAAATGGTAGAATAATATGACAAGGTGGGAATAATGAAAGGTGGTGGTTTCTTTTCTTATCAAGATGCATGAAATTACCAAATCCCATTCCCATATAAAATACATGTTAAAAGAGGGGGGCTTGTCTCAAGTCAGATCGGAATGGAAAAATGAATCGGTATAAATGTGTGGGTATGTAGCACTATCCAAAATTTTAAACTTTTGGATAAATGGATAAACGTCCACCTGTTACAGTTTGTATCCAAGCTAGACCTAATTTTTGATCTGGTGTCACGCCAAACGCCTGGCCTGAAAGCATTTAGGTTTTCAGTCTTCACCTCGGGTAGGCAGGGTGGCCCGAGCTGCAATGAAAGCATTGCGAGTGCATGTGGAGGAGAATTTTATAAGGGGTACTTGTCTCCCATCGAATCCGAATGAAAAAAATAAATAGATACAAATAGGTAAGTGCCTACCCGTTACAATACACTACATCAAACATCATTTTCTTCTTTCTTGGACTTGGTATTGGAGATGACTTCTTGAACCTTCACTTATGCTTTTGTTGAACTTTCTTAAGAAAGTAAGTGAAATTGAGAGCAAAGCCAACAAAATTGGGTGTTGAATCTATAATAGGGTAGAATTTTGGTTGGATAAATAATGTATATTTTGAGAGAGGATGAGGTGGGGTATTTATTTATAGATGAGCATAAGAGGCCTTGAGGGCAATTTTGAAAATTCACAATCTTGAGGGATAACATTGGCATTACACATTAAATTTTCAATATGAAAGGATAAAATGGAGTGTAAAATTACGTAGTGTCGAAAAGTTAGAAGTATACTATTCTAATAATGTGAGGAGGCGTGGGTCTTATCATAACGTTAGCATGGTATATTGGATGTATTCGACTCCAAAAATGTTACTGAATACTCCCTCCGTCCCATATTAATTGTCAGCTCCAAAAATTTTAATTGTGAGTCAAAGTTATCGAAATAGACCTCTAGTATGGGATATAGATAGTATATAAGTATTTTAAAGGAATATGACTAAAAATAATATCAAATGATTTAAAAATAAAAGATAATAGTGAGTCAAAGTTTTTTAAATTGACAACTATTATGGGATGGATGTAGTAGTAGGTGTCTAACTTTCCAAAGCTATATTACACCTTGTCTACGAAATAAATATGTAAAAATAATAAATGAATCTCTTTTTTCTTTAGCTTAGCAAAATAAAAACAATTAACCAAGACCGAATTTTCATAATATATATATATATATATATATATATATATATATATATATATATAATTTGAAGTCAATTGTTCAAGGTACATGAATGAAATGAATCGTAAATTAAGAGTTTACGGTAAACATAAACTGTTTATTTTATAATAAAAAAAAAAAAAGAAGAAGATGAAGTCAAATATCATGTATTCCTAAACAGTAAACATCTAATAAACCTTTTTAATGTTGTGACAATGATACATCTATAAAGAATTGTCTATATATATATATATTCATATATATATACACACACAATAATAATTGCACAATATGCGATCCGATGGATGAATAAATGGATAAGATCACTTCTACAGCATCTGAATTCATTGTTTGTCAATACTTAATATAGTACTTACATAATGAGAAACAAACAAATACACGTCCACAAAGAACCAAGCACGTTATGTTAATAAAATATGCCAAAAAAAAAAAAAATAAAATAAAAATGTCACAAAACTAAAAGTATACAAAACATATATTAATTCAAGCCCAAAAGAATTTTTAATTCAATCATATAATCAAAAAGGACACAAAGAAAACTCTAACGTGACTGAAAATTACATCTTTCAATGGTGCACAAATACAATTCACATGTACAGCGGGTGACCAAGAATTGAGCAACAGTCATAATACATATTCAAAGAAAGACTTTGACCGAAACCCATTGGCCAATAAAATCACATTACAATCTAGGTTTAAAATCTTAGGAAATAAACTTTCAAATCTTCAACAAGAATAGGCAAATTTTATGCACAAAAAGATGCAATTCAAATCTCACCAAAAAAAAAAACACAGAAAAAAGGACACATGTCATCTTGTTATTGTGTCACAGGATAAAATATTTGGTACTTATTATATGATAAACAGTGAGTATTCAAATAGGGTTAATTGCATTAAACTTTCCTTTTTTATCCACATTTTGCATTAAACCCTCATTTTCTATTTTTTTGCCAAAAAAACTCTATCAATTATAGAGGCTGTGCCCATTTTAATGTACCCGCATATATACGCATATATATTTACTCCATTATCACTCTTAGCCGCATATCCTCCACCATTGCAGCATCACGTACCCTTCTTACACCGTTATATTATGATACATATTATGTATCATCCAGATTCGATGATATCCACTCATCCATATTATTTACCCATTTATACCAACTCATTTTTTCATCCAGATTCGATGTGGGACAAAATTGCCCTTGTAACAGTAAATCACTTGGACCTTGGGGTATCGGGAAGTATCAGAATTTAAGGTTCCACTCCTAAGCTATTTTCTCTTTGTTTGTGAAATTAATATGAAATTTAGAATTTAAGGTTCCACTCCTAAGCTATTTTCTCTTTGTTTGTGAAATTAATATGAAATTTAGAAGTAAAAGACCATTTGAGAATAGTCTCAACTTTCTGTATGGTCTAAAAAATTTGTTGTTGTATACTTCTGTAGTTTTATTTTTGAAACATGTGTTATGTAATTACTAATATTTGTAGTATATGTATATGTATATATATATATATATATATATATATATATATATATACAGTTCTGTTATAATGGATTTGGAATTAGAACTGAATTGTAAATTAACGATTCCTCGCTTTGAAATCGAAACTGAACTATAGTAGAACTAAACCACAGTGATCAGTTTTGCTCGTTTTTACAATTTTGGATATTTTTTTTTTATATGAACATAAAAATATAAATACCAATAAATTGAAAAATGAAAAATTGAAATATATACATACATGATCATCTTTTGCATTGTAATGTATGATAAATTTATATTGTAATATATAGTAAGTTATATTATGAGCCAGTGTATTATATAATATATAAATATATTTATTGTTGTGTCTAATAACTCCTATAATCTATTCAAGATACTTGAACTTTTTACCTTTCAATTTAAAATGAGAAAAACTAGTTTTCCTCCAAACCATTTGGTATAATTCAAATTATTTTTGCACTCCAAGTAGAATCTTTTTTTTTAATACATAATTCAAATTATTTCATCAAATACAATATAGAACATTGAAATATAATTACTCAACAGATCAGGCGGTGTATGAATAAATTGATCCCACAGATGTCACTGCATGTGTGCCACGTGTGTGGGATAAGCTAACATCAGCTGCCTGTCCTTTTGACTAGGTCTCAGAATTGCTCACCTCATCCTTCGGCGACGCTTATGTCCCCATTTTTGGCATGATCCAGCAAGTCCCGTGTATTTTTTGTTTCAATTTTACAAATTTAGATTTCAATTTTACAAATCTCGAACGTTTGATTTTTGAATTAATCATTTTTTTTCACCATCGTTGTTATTCGCTTGTTTGCCCAACAAAACAACCAAACCGCAACCAGAATCCCTCAGGCTTCTCTCTCTAAAACTCTCTCTCTCAAACTATCGTCGTTTTCTCCTTATTTGGCCTTTTAGGCTTCTTCCGTCAAACTCTCTCATGGCATTTCACCTCCCTTCTCATTTTGGTACTTTATCTCTCTATATACATTTATTCATGTATGCTTATCATTTAATTGTATTATTGTAAATGTGTTTATCTTCATGATTTGGTTATGAATTCAAATCTTTCTTTTTCTTTTTCTTTTTTTAAATTAAAAATAAAAATCATGTGATTGGATACATGAGATCTATGTAATTGATTACGGAATTTATTTTTCTGAATTTGGAATCAGTTATTTTTGTAGGTTGGATTTGATTATCCATAATTGGTGATGATGCACTGAGTATTGTGATTCGTCTTCAGAATAGGCGATTTTCATTTTCTCAGCGATAGAGTTGTAAACATATATAGAAGTTTTGTTGTTTTGATCAAAGAGAGAAGAGGTTGGGATTTTAACCCCCCCAAAAAAAAAAAAAAAATTTCCGAGCAATAAACTATGGGATATCTCAATTCGGTGTTTTCATCCAGCAGTGAAAGTCATATTGAAGATGGCCCCGTTAGCGGCGGAGGTCTCAGGTAATATAATTTCTTTCTCTGTACCCTTTGTCAGATCTTGTAATGTTTTTAGCTGGTACTGTTTTGGGTTGTATCTAAATTTTCTGGAGATTTTATTTCATGTTGTATATATAAGGATTCTTGATATGCATGTTTATGATAATTTTTTATCCTTGTATTATCATCCATTTATTGTCAATTGTGTTATTTGTATCATGCTTATACCTTCAGAATACAATCTTTCTTAACTTGGATCTTTGTTTTAAGTGAACTATGGGCTTGATCTCAATTTGATTCGGTGAATGAGCAATTATGTAATGTATTTTGTGGCATTAAAATTTTGGTTTTGTCATGGCAAAGAAGTTTCTATTGTTGCTACAGAAATTAAAGCAAGTTCACAAATCAGGTAATTTATTTGTTGGGGACAGCAAAAAAGGTTTTTGTTTGCAATAACCATTCAACAATAAATGAATTTAGGAGGGATAATAAGAAGAAATGAATTAGAAGGGACGGGTTCTACTAAATGAATTATTTTATGGAGTATAAGTTGATTTGTAGTAACTATTAAAAAATAAATTAATTATGAGGGATAAGAAGAAGAAGAATTAGAAGGAATGGGTTTTACTAAATGAATTATTTTAAGGAATATAAGTTGATTTATAGTCCTATATTATATTCTCTATTAATTTCAAAATAGCCCATTTTACTTTCAAAGCATTTTCTCAAGGCCCCCGCATATTTTTTTTATTAAATTTTTTGCATGATAAAATAAAACACATGCGTAAATAGTAATTTGTCACGTTGAGTATACATCGAGTGTCTTGCAATTTTCATGATGAGAGAAATCATAGCGTGATTCGCATTTGTCAAGTGCGAGGCAAAAATATTTAAGCACGTGTTTTATTTTATCTCATATATATATATTTTGGGTGGGAGAAAATTTGTAATACAAAATTAAAATTTTTAAAAATTATAAAATAATTGTAATAAATTTTCTTTAGAAGAGGAGTCGGTGAATCACCTTCTTCTTCATTGTCTAGTGGCAAGGATGTTTGGTCTATATTCTTTGCGTGGCTTGGAGAGGGTGTATAGTGGATAATTGAGATTCCTAGAGGGCCACTCCCCAATGTTTATGGTGGGTGGCGTGAGAGAAATAGGAGATCTTTTGATGGAGAGGAGACACCTATTTGTTCTCTCAAGTACATCATTTGAGCTCTTTTTTTTTTTTTTTTTGGGTAAACAGGCGGAGTTGTAAATTTGCTTGGAATTTTGTGGATAACTTGAAATTATAGTTGGCCATTTTCGGCTTTTTGTGTGTTACCTTGGGAGCGCACCCTCCTGAACCTTCAATGATATTTTACTTATATATAAAAAAAAAAAAAAAAGTTAATAGGCTGGCGTGAGCTTAATGAAAGTTCGGTTTTCTTTTTGTAATATAACCTTAAAAAAAGAAGAGAATACAACTTAAATAAATAGAGACTGGAAATTGATATGAGAATACAAATTAAGAGAAGAGCATGTTGACTGTCATAAATGACGACGTCCGAACTGTCGTTTTCTTCTCAGTTGAATTCATATGAATGAAGGACTAAAACAATAATGGGCAATTTTTTACACTAGATTTGGTTTCCTAAAAGCGAGACTAAACAGCTTCAATGGGCTTTGAAGGGGCCACATGTGATTTTATTTTGCAAAATCACTATTAATAACCACACATAGGTAATGACAACAAATTATGACGGTGAGGGGAGAGGGGAGGGAAGAAGGGGTATTGTGTGTTGAGACTCACCATCAATAACCATACAGAGTAGTAATTATTATTATTATTTAATAAATCCCTTTACTATTGGGAAATCAGATTTTTTATGGAGTTTATGCATATTAAGAGATCATTGAATAATGTCATTTTATCTTGTTGCACATGTGTTAACATCACCACGGGTGTCGCAAAATTGTGCATATTGCATGTTAAAAAGGATCATCATATAAATTACCTTTTTACGTGTAGGGCATATGTGATATGTCAAACCCCAAGGGGTTGGCCTAGTTGGAAAAGGCTTGGGTCTTGGTGCCTCACGAAGCATCAGGTATGTCAACATCAGGATAATGTCACGTCACGTATTTAGTTATGCAATCTGGATGATGAGAGAAGTCTCCACGAATCATCTTTTGTCATGTTAGGCGCGTATAAATATTACTATGAGGACCAAACTAGCTATGCAATTTGTATGATGAGGGAAATCTGCGCTAAATGGCATTTTGTGGTTTTGAGAATATGTTGATTGTCAACATTACTTTGATAGAACCATTTTAGTTTGTTAGTCGTGAGAGTGTACATGCCTGATTCATATTTTGTCGCATTGCTGATGTGTCAACATCACTATAAGGAAAATAAGTTAGTAATATAATCTACATGGTGAGGGAAATTCTGTAGAACCGTTATTTTGTTAATCATGAGACTGATGTTTTATTTCATTGAATTACTTTTAGGTAAGCGAAATGGTTATCCTTGATGGTTCTTCACAGTATTTAATTCTGTAAACCCATCTGCTAGGTACAAACAATTCCTTGGAGCCTGTGTGAGTACCAACTAGGAAAAAAAAGAAGTGATATGTCAGCATCAGGATAATGTCACGTATTTAGTTATGCAATCTGGATGATGAGAGAAGTCTCCATGAATCATCTTTTGGCATGTTAGGCACATATAAATATTACTATGAGAACCAAACTAGCTATGCAATCTGTATGATGAGGGAAATCCGCGCTAAATGGCATTTTGTCGTTTTGAGAATATGTTGATTGTCAACATTTCTTTGATAGAACCATTTTAGTTAGTTAGGCGTGAGAGTGTACATGCCTGAATCATATTTTGTCGCATTGCTGATGTGTGTCACTATAAGGAAAATAAGTTAGTAATATAATCTACACGGTGAGGGAAATTCTGTAGAACCGTTATTTTGTCAATCATGAGACTGATGTTTATTTTATTGAATTACTTTTAGGTAAGTGAAATGGTTATCCTTGATGGTTCTTCACCGTATTTAATTCTGTAAACCCATCTGACAAGAATGATAGGATTGTTTCAACCAATAAAAAAATTATATCACGTCCATTTACTGAGAGCTCACATGGTTCTGGTACTGTGGTACAGTGTCCACGAACACGTGGCATTGGGAACTAGAAGTTTTGAATTTGTGTTGTTGAAGTATTTTAAATACAATAATTGGTATCATTAGAATTTAAATTACACCTGGGTTATAAAGCTTTGAACACCAAGGACATTCAAACGTATATTTATACAAACATATATATTTGCACGACCTTGTACGCATACAACAAATAAAGTGTGTTACGATGATTTAATTTCATAATATACTTGCTTCTTTGTCTCTTCTATATAAAAAATAAAGATCAGGGAATTGATTCTAGTGCCACTTTATCAAATAAATGTTGCTTTGCCTGATTGGTTGTTTGTTTATGCAACGAACAAAAGATAAAGATAAAGCGCATCTTTTGGCGGGATTAAATGCAAACTTAACATGGTTATCCACGTGTCATTATGGAGCTATACTGCCAGAGAGAGCAAGTCGAGGACCTAGTAAACAAATACTCTTAGTTGTTTAGGCTTCTTTATTTTAGACAAATTGGCATTAGCTGTGAATTTATGGTCGTACAAAAGTCATAAATGTTATAAAGAATATAGCCATGAATTATATTTTGAGATATATAGTTTCCTTAATTTTAAATCATTTGGTTATTTTCTATATAGGATGCATACACATGTTAAACTTTCCAAAAGGCCATTAAACGTGGCATTTCTTCGCAGTATGTTGTTTCGTAAACTATATTTGTAGTTACAAAGTTTGACGTATCTATATTTTTGAGGGTTTCTTATCAAATCTAAATCTCTAGTTCTCTTTCGTAACTGTTGTGTGTAAGAGGATTACATGAAATAAAACATCAGTCTCATGATTGAAAAAGTTCTTTAATAGCTAGGGGCTTGTGATCAACCTAATGTAAATTGTTCAGAACAGGTTTCAGTTTTCAATACTGTCTATGGCATACATGGTTTAAGGTATTTATTTATCTTTGGAATCATTACAATTCTTTTGAAAGAGTTGGACAGGATGTTTCTAATGTGAAGCGTGACTTGTTGCCATAAAACAGTCAGAATGGCAAGTTCAGCTATGGTTATGCAAGCTCTCCTGGGAAAAGGTCTTCAATGGAGGATTTCTACGAGACAAGAATTGATGGTGTTGATGGAGAGATAGTTGGTCTCTTTGGAGTCTTTGATGGTACGAGTCTTCTCGTTCTCTTTCCCTCTCATTACCTTTACCGACACACAGTAAGATCATGTTCGCAGAATATAAATATTTGCACTCATGAGTTAGCAACATACGGATTTCTCATTTTCTTCACACGATTTTATGCATCACAAAGACTTAGTTATAGAAAAGTTTTAACTTCTGTAAGCATATTTGCCACTCTTTTTTTTTTTTTTTTTTTTTTTTTTTGGAGAATTTTTTACCCAAATTCTTCTATTGGAGTCTTCGATAGTACTTATTTTCTTTACCCTTAAGAAGGAAGGCCTTAGGTTTCCCTAAATGAAAGATTAGTCTCTTTTTAAATCCTCATTTAACTCCATTTTGTTTTAAAATTTTCATGGTTCATCAATATATGAAATGAGAGATATTTCATATGAATGCTCAATACATTGCTTACATCTTGTCATGCTGGATATTTCTGTTCTCTGTTTGTTTCAGGTCACGGAGGTGCTCGAGCTGCAGAATATGTTAAACAAAATCTTTTCAGTAATTTGATCAGCCATCCAAAGTTCATTTCTGATACCAAATCAGCCATAGGTTTATCTCATCTTTACTATACAATTTCACTTGCCAAAAAAATCTGTACTATACAATTTCATGATGTTGAACAAGTTTTTTCTTTTAATTATTTCATTTTTTTTTTTTGGCTCTCTCCATTATTTCATTGGTTTTCACCAATTTCTTCCTGTCATTACAGCTGATGCATACAACCATACAGACTCGGAATTTCTGAAATCAGAAAATAATCAGAACAGAGATGCTGGATCAACTGCTTCCACTGCCATCCTTGTTGGTGATCGTTTGCTGGTTGCAAATGTTGGGGATTCCAGAGCTGTTATTTGCAGGGGTGGCAATGGTAAGACTCGGGAGGTTTTTTTTTTTTTTTTTTTTTTTTTTTTTTTTTTTTCCTTCCTTCCTGTATTAAATTTATAGTGTATTGACAATTTATGTTCACCTGTATGCCAAGGAGATTGTGTTATTTTCATAGTTGCTATTGGTAATTGTTCTGGTAGGGAAACTGTCTGTTACAGTATTTAAGTATCAGGTCTTGTCTAACGTATGGAACATCACTTCTTCAAAAAGCTCTGAATTGTTTGTTTTGTATTCTTTCTCCTAACAGTCATTTAGATTTAGAATGTTCCTTTCTTCTATCTGATTTGAGGTTCCCAGAATTCCACTTATAAATATTCAAGTAAAGAAATGCCCTCGTAAATTTTTACAAAAAGTTTTTTGTCATGCGTATTTATCACCGTCTGTTGTACTTATTATTATTTGACTATACCTGCCATTTATGGTCCACTTGGTGGGACAGAAGGGTGGAACCGTGGAAGGAAGGAAAGGGGAAAAGAAGAGGGGAAGGATGGGTAAGATCTCTGTTGTCTGATATGATGAAAAGGGAAGGGGAAGGGACGGGGACAACAAGAGGCGAGGGCCGCGAGGCCTCTCTTTAGGCCCCCATATCCCTTTCACCGGGTGAAGGGGAGTTTTAAGTGCTTCCCACTTTTTTTATTTTGTATTCTTCTTTCAAATAACATCATTTCTAAATTGTTTGGGTATAATGGTAAAATTATGAAACACTCATTTCCTTTCTCCTTTCCTGCTTACTCAGCCAACAAATTGATGGAAGGACCCTTTCTTTCCCCTAGGGATACTTTCTCCATTCCTCTTACCTTTCACTCCTCAAGGATTCCATCCCGTTGTACCAAATATTTTATTTCATCTTATACTACTAGACATGAGTGGTTATCTTATGTCAACATAAATATGCGAATGGAAAAATCAATACATCTGTAGACATAACATGCCTGCTCCATAATTCTATGCTGCAGCCTTTGTTTGTTGCAGTAGGTAGTTACTGTTCACCTGGCAATTGGTTGTTTGGATGTTCTTTTGATTTTTAGCTAATTCCAAGTGGGTATTGTTAATGTTGGATCTTTGGCCATCTAACATTTGTTACTAGTTTCATCCTATTAGTCTAATGTTGTTATATTTCTTTCCCTTCTCTATACCAGTTACAAAATTGACATCTCTGTCCTCTATACGTTTTTTACTTTCTATTGTGCTTCTGTATACTAGGTATGATACCATGGGATCAGTTCTTCATAGCATATTAGTTATAATTTCATCTTTGTACATGTACTTGCAATGTTGGCTGTTTTATTCTATTATGTTATAAGAGTTGCCACTTCATGCAAGTAATGCCAAAGTTAAGGTCTGTATCACTATGAGAAGTTTTTAGCTTCCAGGAGTTAAGTTATCTTGTGACATCTATGCCACTGTACATGTATCGTGTCTGTAATTACTGATTTGGAGCATGTTAGGAGATACTGTAACTTTTGAGAAATAATAACCCAATGACAATATTATTATTTGTTCTTTCCTTCTTTTTTGTTAAACCATTTGTTGTTGTAGTACTGAAAATTGGTATTGTTCGTGACAATTTGATATCTGCAGAAGTTTAGTTACAATGCAGAGCATATTTATTAGGCAGGAGATAGTAGCAGGATAATGGTGTCCTTTATTTTATTTATTTATTTTCTTGTTTTGATAATTGTATAATGGTGTCCTTTTTTGTTTTGATAATTGTATTGTCCTCATTTTCACCAACTTAACCATCCATTATATCAATTTTTTTTTCATTATATTTGCATTTTATACTTCAAAACAGGCTAATGATAGCGTCTGTGTAGCAACAATAGGGAAAACGTTTTTGCGTTACAGTGCCAAAAACATAAGAAACACCTTTTTTATGTTTCCTCTTTTCTTCAAAAAAATGGAAAACATTTTCTATTATAGAGAAACAAAAACATAATATTAAACATGATTTTTATTTTTCTTTTATCTTTTTAGGGGTTGGCAACAAAAAACATGAAACATTTTCTGTCAGTGAATGCAGCCTAGGTTATATTACCCATTTAATTTAAATGGGTTAAATAATTATTAAAAGGGTTGTCTCGTGCAGATTAACAACCAACACATGGGTCGTGTCGTGTTCTTGTCAGGAGTTTCTGACAAGATTATTAAATTGATCATGTTGGGTTGACCCATACATGATGTGAATATGACCCACCAACACAAATTGTCACCCCTCGTGTGCCATGTGGTCCTTGGTAATCGAGAGTGTTGGAAGAGAGAAACTGAGTATAAAGCTAACCTTTGGCTTTATTTAGACAAAATGACTACACTCTGTCTTGAACTTGCATTCTCATGCCTGGAGCCCTAATTTTTACCACTTGAAAAAAAGAGAGTACATTTTGGTTAGCTTTTTAAGTTCATGCATTTAAAACTTTGCTTCGAGACTTTCTTAGATCTTACCCTCCTAGTTATTTTGTATTCTGTTAATGACTCTCCTTTTCTGTTAGTTTAATTTTCGTAGTTCTTACTAATTTTACCACGTTTTTTGAGTTTCTATTAATGTGAAATGCATCTTGGTAACAAGTATCATAGTGATGCTCCTACCTGTTCTCTTTCTCGCTTCTCTTTTCATATGCATTTGTATATAGAAAACAAAGGCTTCATTCTTTTTTCATGCTTCTTGTAGCCAGCATTCTAGAAACATTAGTGTTGTTTGACATTTCATGCATTCAGGAAATCCTAAGGTTTCACTGTAGCTTTTCCTGTGATGTGTAAAAGAAATCCCAAAGTTTATGTTTTATAATTTGTTACTTCTGAATTTCAAACGTGTAACATAGATGCTTTTTGTTCATTTATTTTGGCTTTTTGACCAAACTGTGCCTGCTTTCTTTGAACACCTCGATAACTATAAAATGTATTCAGCACTTTCTTCTTATTCCATGTCTTTCCTACTTGAAACACAAGCAGGATTCTTGTAGCTGACCCAAATAGTTGGGAAAAGGCTTTATTGACTTGGAGTTGAATTGAGTTATAAAACATGCGCGCAATCATTTGGAAATAGTGGAAGTATGACTTGCTGATCATCATACCTGCTAGAATTTTTGCACTAGTGATGTCGGTGATCATAGTCCATGTATGTAAAGGAAATTGGTATTTGGAGAAGTGATTGATGATGAGGCCTTGTGCCAAATTTGGAATTACTTGAGGTTTCTTTTAAACCTCTCTCTTTTATATAGAAATGAGTGACATGGAATCGTAAGGAATAATGTTAACGGCGTCGGTTCAGTAATTGTCCTCAAGTAGGAGGGTCTCTTGCCTTTTAAATAGGCCTGTTTAAGTATTCAGATGATGTTAATTTGTTATCTAGATACTTGTGATCACATGCTTCACTCCTCCTCCATCTTACCATGATTTTCATTTTTATTATTCTTTTCCTCTCTGTACATAACTACATACTTTGATTTTTGAAATGGTGAAGAAACAAAAAGTTCCACCTTTAAGCACGACAAGCGGACAATAAATCTGAAATAGGATGTCCGGTGAAAACTAATATGACTTAAAATATGCCCAGCGAGTTTGGCCACACTTCTCATTTTGTTACTGATCCCCTACCCCACCATCTCCGCACCCACAAAACAATACCTTCAGACCGTTTAGTTATGCTCCTAATTACTTATATGATTATATGGAAGTTTTTTTTCTGTATTGTCATTATAGAGATCTCGTGAAGGATGTTTGCTTCTATGATGCTCCCTGGCATCCATGAAACATCTGATAAAGTTTTTTGTTATTTCCTGCAGCAATTGCTGTTTCTCGAGATCACAAGCCTGACCAAACTGATGAGCGACAACGGATAGAAGAAGCTGGAGGATTTGTTATGTGGGCTGGTAAGGGCATCATCTGGTTAGCTTATCCATTGTTTATAATTATCAAATTGTTGGCACTGTGGTGACCCAAAATTTTGGCAATAGGAACTTGGAGAGTTGGTGGTGTACTTGCTGTTTCACGTGCATTTGGTGATAGGCTTTTGAAGCAGTATGTTGTTGCTGATCCAGAAATTCAGGTCTGGTTAAGTGCAAATATTGAATTTATATTCGTATAAAGTTGGACATCTATTGAAAAGATATGCCAGTCTATCCACATTTTTTTTCTTTCAGAAAATGTGTTTTTTTGTTTCTGTTTGTTCAATTATAATATGCACATATATGCAACACAATGTTTTGCATGGAAACCAGTGCAGGGTGTCTCTCTTGATGTCAGAATTCTCTATTCTTCAAATTATATGACATCAACATGGCCCGACTTTCTAATCTATCTTCTAATGGTACTATATGCTAAAGCATAATGGGCTGTATGTTGATGTAAAACATAAAATGTCTGATATGGGAACCCTTGTCCGTCTGGATAGAATGACATTTAAGAGATCTGATGTAGGGATTCTTTTAGCATCCACTGGTGTTGGTGGATTGTAAGTCCCAATTATGATAACATATATGATGGAGACATTTGGGTGTGTTGCCCCGAAGCAGTCCTTGTTCCTTCTTCTTTCCACTTGCTATCAACATTTCTTTTACCATATCTGGACTGATCATTTTTCTATTTCTATTTTATTTTTATTTATTTTTAAAATTTGCAGGAGGAAAAAGTTGACAGCTCCCTCGAGTTCCTTATCCTTGCAAGTGATGGACTATGGGATGTCGTCACAAATGAGGTTTGCCAAAGTTTCACTTTTTCTTTCACCTTTTTTTAAAGTCTACCTGATGTCCGATAGATTACTTATTTGTCCCTTTTTCCTTTGCGATCCTCCACCTCATAAATACTTTAGCATAAATTGATCTAGCCTTTTATTTATTTATCAATCTTCAATTTTTTTCACTGGCCCTATTCCAGAGGTTTGTACATTTCAACATTCCAAGTGATATATGTACCTTTTCTCAGGATGCTGTTGCAATGGTAAAACCAATTGAAGACACAGAGGAAGCAGCAAAGAGGCTGATGCACGAAGCCTATCAGAGAGGCAGTGCAGATAACATTACTATTGTCGTCGTCCGTTTCTTGGCAAACCAAGGGGAGTCCGCTAATAATGGCTCCGGTTAAGGATCTTCTTTGCCGGCACCGAGGGGCTTGGTTCTCCACCTGATGCAAAGTGGGGTGGGAGAAAAAGTATGGTAGGAATGTACTAATTATAAAACAGAGACTTCTTCAGCTGCTAATGTGCTTTAAGTATTATTGGCCTTTAGAATATAACTGTATCCGAGTCTAGCTGATGTACTTGACCCTTAAATGTAGCTACATGGAAATCTTCGTGCGGGAATCTGTAAAGACAACTACGTTCTTATGTCATTTGTTGTATATGCAGTTTAAACTTCCTTTTCTTTCCTGTCGTTCCTTGACATGATCAGGTTTGCGTGAAAAGATTGAAAGTTTGGCTTACAAATACTTACTCATGTTTGGTAGCAAGTGCTGTATGTGAAACAACGTCTGCCAGTCTTGATGTGTTTCATGTAGGTTTGAGGTTCAGAGTTAAAATGCTAGTCATTCCTTGTGTGTGTGTATATATATATATGTATGTATATACGTATGTGTGCAAGCACAGGACCATAGTTGAAGTAATGCCACCAATGTGAAGGGCCAGCCTTTCTTTAGTAAGACTGATTTCCATTTTGTTGTATGAATGATGAGCTCTCTCTCTGTGAATCTCAATAACCAGGTATGTTCTGAATTTGAAGTTCATTTATCAATTATATATCTCTATATATGTGAAGTGAGATAGAATTATATATTATAACAGTAAACTCCAATATTAGCTAGTGAGTGCAGTGTTGTTTTTGGGGAGCTCAATTGAAGCTGCCATATTTGAAATATCAATTGCTTTAAATGTAGATGTTTATTCAATCAGAAAATTAAGAGAATGGTTTTGTATTATATATGTTTGATGTGTATATAATACAAAATGTGGCCATCGATCTTCTTGTGATTTGTCTTGGCCAAAGGCTTTCAACTTTTTAGTTTGCTACCTTTGAATTAATCAAAGGTGTTTATTGAATTAGATTGAGACACTTGATCGTTGAAAGTTCCAATTTCAGACTTTGTGCATGAAGTAGGTGAGTCATATTATTTTTCTTACATATGCATGAGAAATGGATTATATATAGGAAGTCACATTTATAATCAAGAAAATAGTTCTTAATTGATAATTTTCTTTTGTACTTTTGCTGATAATTTTGGTGCAACTGTGTGATTAAATGGTTTGCAACTCTATAACCGGATGCAAGTTTCAGTATTCATAGAGGTACATCTTGGTTTCTTCATTTTTTTTTTTTTTTTTTGTTAAATTTTTTTTATAAAGGGAAGACAGAGGGGTGTGTGTTACCCTAAATCTAGGGTTTGTTTTGGGACCACAATCTCATATTCAATCCATTAAACCCAAATTCAACTGGCATGTTTTGCACGGCAATGCAGAGAAAGTCATGTATAACGCCAAGAGATCACATTTATCAAAAAAATGCCTTCCCAATAAAAAATAAAAAATAATAGTTAGGATGGCCACGGCAGAAATGCCTTCCCCCTTGGCATAGCTACCTCCGTTCCGTCTCAGAATCGTTTAATAGTGGAGATGAATTTTGTACAATACTTTCGTAATAGTAATAATTCTTTTTTCTCATAAAATTCATTTGGGATGCCAATAATTTTAGTTAATATACTACATTAGGAATCGGCACTGACATGAATTTGGATACTACATTATTAGTTAAATAAGAATTGAATCAACGTTAAATAAGAATTGAATTAACTAAGAAAAAAACTCATCTGAACACTAATAAGCAATTCAAGGTAAAAATAACAAATCTGAATTACATCAAAACAAAATCAAGTAGTAAATCTCATTGAGTATCATGTCACCCGATGGACCTACCGTGTTCCTCTCGGGTAATGTATAGAGATTCATTGTCGTATTGCAACTTCAGAATTCCCTTGGGCATGTCAAGTCGAGTGAAATAGGCGTTTTCATCTTCCTTCAACTCATATGTACTCTGAAATGGAAATTTCCTAATTCAGCATATTTGAACCACCAAATATACTAAAGTTATATTAAATAGCATGCAATTGATGTCTTGAATTTCAAATTATTAATTTTTTTTTCAATTTTAAAACACTAATTTCGTACCAACTTCCAAAGAAGATAGCATATAGGAGCAACAAACTTAAGTCCACTCCATGCCATCATTTTAATGGCCAAAACAAATCGTAATTTCAGGTCATTTCATTTAAAAAAAACTTTGAAGAATAATATTTTATGATATTTAGCTATCAGATGTGTTTGATCCACTTTCTCCATTCCTGGTAGGGTCTCGTGGAATGGGAAGTGGATGGAGGAGAGGATGGGAAGTGGATGGAGGAGGGTGATGCTCTGCATCTGAGAATGGGCGTGTCTGGTCTGAACAAGGAGAACGTGAAGATAGCTGTCGCTTTACCTTCTTTTTGCAACCTTTTTTTGTTCATTTATTTGGGCTTTTTGACCAAACTGTGCCTTCTTTATTTGAACACATATCCATAACTATAAAATGTGTTCACCACTTTCTTCTTAATTCCGTGTCTTTCCTACTAAAAACATACTAAAAACACGGGCACGGTTTATGTAGCTTATCCAAATAGCTGGGAAAAAGGCTTTATCGCCTTAGAGTTGAGTTGAGTTATAAAACATATGTTTTGCATTATATTCTAAGTCACATAATTCTTCTTAACATATGTTGTCCTCACGTTCCGCGCGTATTCTCGCTCAAATTCTCAATGCTTATAACTTAATTCTGCCGCTCTCACGCTTCCGCTTTCGAATTCGCTAGGTGAAAAGATTTTTTGATGGTGCTTGACATTATTAGGTTTGCATGGCTCGGTGAAAAGATTGAAGTTTGGCTATGGTTGTTCAAGTTTGGTAGCAACTAGTGCGTGTTTCATGGAGGTTTGAGGTTCAGAGCAAAATGCTAGTCATTCCTTACATGCGTGTGGGTAAGGGCAGGACCATAGTTGAAGTCAGGGGCGGCTAGAGCGTTAGGCGAGTTAGGCGGTCGCTTAAGGTCCCCGCTAATAAAAAAAACCTTATTATTTTTCATTTCTTTATATATTATAACTTTCTTAAAATAATTATGTTAATTATGGATTTGACACTTACCTACAAGATTTCTATTGTTTATCACCTTTTTTTTTTTTTTTTTCAAGGGCCCCAAAATTTTTTCCTTATATATTATAAGCTACTTAAAAATTTAAATTTTTTCTATTATTTACAACCTCACTCCGTCACAAGACTTTGAATGAACTTTTATTCTATTAAAGATTTTTTGGAGTATTGAACTAAATTCTTTGAAATCAATTTCTATTAATGCTCTAAAACTTCAATTAGTTTATAGTTTTATTAAGTTTTGTTATCATAAAATTATTTATTTTGTTTATGTTGTCATCATTTTTATTTATATTGTTGAATATGTCTTCTAGAAAGTACATAGTCAATTAATTAACGATAAAATTAGAGATTGAAATTTTAATAGCATGAACATATGAGTAGACTCTATTAAAAAACCATTTTATTTTTTCACTTAAGGTCTCAAATTATATTGAGCCAGTGGTTAAAGTAATGTCACCAATGTCAAGGGCCAACCTTTCTTTAGTAAGGCTGATTTCCATTGTTGTATGAATGATGAGCTCCTTTCTGTTTCAGGTGACTATACATGACTCTCTCTCTCTAAGTTGCAGCACAAATATTTTGCCCTTATGTGTATGTGTGTATGTAGGGGCGGAGCTAGGATTGCAAAAGGGAAGAGAAAGAAGATGAACACAATAATTTTTATGACAGATATTTTATATATATTCAAAAATAGCAAAATAATAATAATAATAATAAATATATATAAGTGATGGGCTTGTAGCTTTGGTTACACTAAAAGAGCTATTTGAATGGAATGAATATTCTCTTATAAGATAAGTGAGATTTCGTCAGCTTGTTGCTTCTTTCTTTTGTTCAGAGAGTTGCTCATTGTTAGGCTGTGCTATTTGTTATTTTTGTTTTATTATGGATTGGACACGGGCATGGGTTGGGTTATGACTGATTGGGTTGCACTATGATTAATATGAAGTAGTAGTACCAAATTTTTTTTTTTTTTGGAAACCTGGGCTATAGCTCAGGTTAGCCCACACTAAGTTACACCCCAGGTGATTGATCCTATATCAAATGCTAATCACCTTTCATATGACATGTTTCAATACACATGTTACCTATGGAGGACTCCTGTACTTTGGTTTAGGCACCAATATCATATTCCAACACCAAAAAACAATGATGTACAACACTTGCTTTTTTGAGGAATTTATTAAAAAAAGAAAGAAAAGAGATACAAGTTGTAAAATAGAATGAAATGCTGCACACACGAAAATATATTTATAGTAGCCGTTTGCATAAGCAATTTAAAAATTGTGCATGTGACATAATAAAATGGGTTAACTTCAGTTACACCCCCTGAGGTATGTTCTAACTTCAAGGAGACCCCCCACGTTTGCAAAATTTAAGTCAGACCCCCTGTCAGACATTGTCGGCTGACAAAAACAAATAAATAAATAAAATGACTAATTTACCCTTTTGTCATTTTCGTATATACACTTAACCAAACAGTCAATCTCTTGAACCAAACATGTTTTATAACTCTGGGTTAGCTTTATCTCTTGAACCAAACAGTCCATCTCTCTCATCTCTCATATCTCACTAGCAAAGTTAGGGTTACAAAAAACTGGGTTTGGCTTGCTGGAAAGCTCGTCGTCTACGAGCACCTCCATCACATCTGTATCCTTGCGTCACTGGTGCGGTTCATCTTCACTGTCGATTTGTAACGGCCGAGACAATCCATCATTAAAGAACACATTTGAGCCCTCTTGAGCCATTGCGCCAAACCTAGTTGCCTTCCAAAAACTAGATCTAGTGACTCTATTTGGTCTTACGCTATTCCTATATTTTCTGCCTCTTTTGCAGAAGAAATACCACTCATTTTCTCTCGTTGGACTACCTTCTGCATTTTTTACAAACTAGTTTAGCAACAAATCCATCAATATATATAAAGAGAGAGGGGGTTCACTGATATATAGCGAATAACCGTCCATATTTACTTTTTATGATTGATGTGGTGTAATGCTAATCAAAGAAATGGTGTCCTAAAGTAGAAGATCGATTTACTGATTTTCGTACAAAGAAATGGAAAACAAAAAAGAGAATTTTGTTTTTCCTCTTTATTTAGTTATTTATTTATTGTTTTCTTTGCATAACCACAAAAAATTATGTTCAATCATCTCACTGCTTCCGGCAAAAGAAGCTGTAGCAACCACCATCTTATCTAGCCGGTGGAGCCACCTGTGGAGGTCCTTTCATCGCCTCTATTTCGACCCCGTCCACGTCGAAGATGTGAACCTACTTGATTTAATTCTATTCCAGATCATTGAACACGTCATGTCGTCTCAAAGGACTAATATCACCGTCTGCCGGATTTCTCACTCCCCGGAGGATTGGCGGTTGTTGCTTAAACTGATCAATCGCCTCAAAGTGAACAAATCCATAGAAGAGCTCCGACTCACTTGCATAGATGATGGAACTGTGCAGTATCTCGAGTCGTCCATCTTGCTGTTGAGTCTCTTCAGGTGTGGAACTCTCCATGTCCTTGAACTCAACAAGTACCAACTCAGCGTTGACGAATCCATTGCTGCGGCTTTCGAAGGTTGTGTGAATCTGACGACTCCATTACTGCGGCTTTCGAAGGTTGTGTGAATCCGACGACTCTAAAACTCAACTCGGTCCGAGTAACCCCCGAGAGTCTTTTCAGAATCATACGTAACTGTTAGTTCATGGAGAATTTGAGCCTGTGTTCTTGTATTGGATTAGACTATATTAAGATTATTTCTAATCACAAGTACTTGAAGTTCTTGGAACTCCGGAATTTGGATCTTTATAAAATTGAAATATATCTCAAGGGTGTCACTGAACTAGTGCTTGATAATGTTCCATACTCCAAAAGATGTTATATTAACTGCCTAAACCTTCGAGGTTGGAGACAGAAATGGGTTTGCAGAGAGACAAAGTTTAGAGAGAGAATGGGTTTGCAGAGAGATAAAGTTTAGAGAGAGAATGTGTGTGTGTGCGCGTTTTGAGGGGAGTGTTTGGTTAGATAGATATTATGTAGCCAAACATAACCGTTGAGGGGTAATTTGGGAATTAAAATTTAATTTTTTACTAATGTCAGCAAAAAATATCTCTGACCAGCTTTGACCGTTAACCGAGGGGGGAGACTGATGTGTGTCAAAAAAACGTAAAAGGTCTGACTGAAATTTTGCAAACGTTGGGGGTCTCCTTAAAATTAGGACATACCTCAAAAAGTGTAACGGAAGTTAACCCTAATAAAATTATATTTGTGATATAATTAAACCGGGTAATAGAGAAATTTGAATTCTTTTTATTTTTTTTTTATATCCTCTCCCCTCAAAAGCTACTAAAATTTTATTTTATTTATGGGTAAAGTACAAAGACACCCCCTGAGATTTGGGGTAAAGACAAATAAATGAAAGTTAGTCCATTTTTGGACAACCACACCCCCTTGTGAAATTTCTCATCCAAACAAAGCCTTAAAATATGTGAAAAGTCCATTTTATTCTTCCTTAATTTATTAATTTTAATTATAAAATATCAAAATATTTAAATGACCAAATTACCCTTTTCATCTCTCTCTCTCTCTCTCTATATATATATATATATATATATATATATCTATCTTGTTGTCCTTTTACCCTTTTAAACAAATATAGAAATCGGTTGCAAATCCATTTGAAATGGAAAGAGGATCCTCAGGTTAAAAATATAAGTGGTGAAATGAAAGAACGAAACATTGTTGTTTCGCCCAAATTTGGTTGCCTTAATCGGCCAGTACTATCCCAAATTGGTTGTCTTAACCAAATCCTTTGTTGTTCCGATGATTATGAAAAAGGTGGTCTAGTACTGAGGGCTGCAATATGATGTCCAGAGCAAAATATGAAATCAAGCCACAGACAAGTTTTCTAGATCAAACTTGCAAACAGAAACAGGAACCTTAACAGTTTCGCGACTAAAACTGGGGTTGGTATATCGACTAAATATATCTATATATATACACACACATATAACAATCACCACCACCCCTAACCCAGACCTGAAAGCTTCGGCCATAACACCACCTCCACACCTTCCAACCACCGGCCGACGAACGGCTCACCATCTTCATCAGCAATTGATGTTTCGCTCGTTGCGGGGCTCTGTTATGGTCGATCCATGGGTACAAATTTGATCGGGCTCCATTTTTTCATGGTTTTGCTGCGGGGAAGAATCCATCGCCTTTTTAAAGCCACCGTCTCACATCGCCGTCGATGTCTTGAAGTCGCCGTCTCACATCGTCGTCGTCGTGGGTTAGGTCAAGATCAGGCTCCAATTTTGAGCGCCATTGTGGGTTAGATCAATATCGGGCTCCAATTTTTGGCAATTTTGTCTTCCTTGCTCGTCATCGTGATGAATTGATAATGATGATGTTGAGGGATGATGTTGATATATGTGACTGCGTGATTTCTGGTGGTGGTGGTGGTGATATATATATGAGTATGTATATGTTGTGTGTCTATACAGACAATATATATATATATATATATATTATAGTAGTTGTTTGAGTTAGGGTTTGAGAGAGAGGAAAGAGAAGAAGAGGGTAAGGATATTTAAGTCAATTGCATTTGTTAATTTTATATCAAAGGGTAATAAAGTCAATTTACCATTGTTGGGTGTCTTTGTCCATTTTATCAAACTTGAGGGGGTGTGAATGTCCAAAAATAAAATAACTTTCATTTATCTGTCTTTATGCTAAATTTCAGGGGGTGTTAGTGTACTTTACCCTTTATTTATTTATTTATTTATTGACAAATGCTGATAATAGCAGCACAATGGAGGCTTTCAATTCTTTGGCGTGTACTTTTTGATTCGGTGGAGTTCATACCAAGTTTCACACTACACTTACACGTTTTTATATACTTTCTTCGTTTTAAATAGGGTATTTAATTTTGAAATGGAGGTAATATATTTTTGTTTCTTAAATAATGGTGTGTGATTGTAGAACTAAAAAATAATAAAATGGGGAAAAAAGAGTGCACAGTGCACATTAAAAGAGGACTTGTAAAAACGTGTAGAGCCCACCATTGTTGACTTACATGGCACAATGCACCCTAAAAGAGCACTGGTAAAAAACGTGTAGGGCCCACCATTGTTGGTGGCACACTGCACACTAAAAGAGCACTTGCAAAAAACGTGTAGGGCCCACCATTGTTGACTTTCGTGACTGTTACACTTTTGAAAGAGGCGCCTCACCAAACTCAATCGACGGTTAATAGTCCATCGATCAAAACGCGTGGCATACAGCTCGATCATCATCAATACAAGCAACTACCAAGACATTGTTATAACACCACCCAAAGCAACAAACTAAAATCGCACTCTCGGTTCTATCTTATTTCTGTACCTCAAAACCCTAGCTTCTCTGTCCACGCCCTAGATCTGCTTCGCCTCCGTCCCAATCTGTCTGCTTCGCAACTGTCTCACCTGTGCTCCGTCCCAACTGTTCGATGCGTCGGCCACGTCGGCGACCACCAGAGACGACGGTGACAACACCTGCCATTAAATCATCAACTCGTCACACACCTCAAACGGCTGTTACCGGTACGTTTTTACATCTTTGCATCTATTTTCTTAAAATTAACTGTTTGGTGGAGGATAAAATGAGGAAAAGAAAATCATCTACTCGTCACACACCTCAAACAGCTGTTACCAGTACTTTTGTTTATATCTTTGCATCTATTTTCTTAAAATTAGCTGTTTGGTGGAGGATAAAATGAGGAAAGAAAATCATCAACTCGTCACACACCTCAAACAGCGGTTACTTTGCATCTATTTTCTTAAAATTAGCTGTTTGGTGGTGGATAAAATAAGGAAAATAAAATCATCAACTCGTCACACACCTCAAACAGCTGTTACTTTGCATCTATTTTCTTGAAATTAGCTGTTTGGTGGAGGATAAAATGAGGAAAATAAAATCATCAACTTGTCACACACCTCAAACAGCTGTTACCGTTTTATATCTTTGCATCTATTTTCTTCAAATTAGCTGTTTGGTGGAGGATAAAATGAGGAAAAGAAAATCATCAACCCGCCACACACCTCAAACAGCTGTTACTAGTACGTTTTTTATATCTTTGCATCTAATTTCTTAAAATTAGTTCTTTGGTGGAGGATAAAAAGAGGAAAAGAAAATCATCAACTCGTCACACACCTGAAACAGCTGTTTTTTTTTTTTTTTTATATATCTTTGCATCTATTTTTTTTTAAATTAGCTTGTTTTTTATATCTTTGCATCTATTTTCTTACAATTAACTATTTGGTGGAGGATAAAATATGAGGAAAAGAAAATCGTATAGGGGATTTTCACATTTTACTATGTCATATTTTGTTTTATAATACTGAGTGTCAATTGTATAACATTTTAGGGTTTCTTTTTCCTACAATTTCCTGGGCATCTAACATAATTTACTAGATTCATGTTTTGAATTGGCTAACGGATGTGAATAAAATGCAGGAAGACCTGAGAAGATTATTGGCCGCATGAAGTCATATTTTGATTTTCTTTCTAATAGAAGTTGGCAACAAGTTTGATTCAGTTGCATACTCCCCCGGTTGATATTTGGTACGCATCTACTGCAAATTTTGAGCATTTCGAATGCAGAGAATCTGTTCGTAAATAGATCGGCGTTGAAAGATGATAGGAATTACGAAATCGGGATACCTGGAATGGCAGGTAGTGGAAAAACGAGGATGCCGAAGAAATCGCCAAACAAGCTGAAAAAGATAAGCTTTTTTATGAGGTTGCCAAGGCAGTCTTCTCCCAAAATCCAGATCTAAAAAAACAAAGGTGGTCAAATCTGTCATTCAAACCAGAGATTGAAGTTGGGAGAAAGGGGAGCTCCACGACAGATTGAAGAATGGTAAAAAAGATTCATTCTAATAATTGATGACATTTGGAATGATAGAAATTAAGTTGGAGGAAATAGAAATCTCATCTTCAAATCAAGGGCTGCAAAGTTTTGCTGATCTCCCGGAGAAAAGTTGTGCGCATTCAACTTAATTGTACAAGTGCATCATCCCACACATGCTTTTCTGTTGATAGCTCAGTGTTGCTCGAACTACAATTGAGAAAAGCATGTTGGGATGATGCCCTTGTATAATTGAGAAATTGCAGGGGAGAGAACATCCATGCATAGAGTGGAGCTACAAGTATCTAATGCGACCTTGTTTCCAGGGGATGCTGAGATTCCGATTGATGACTTGGCGATGTATGGAGTGGCAATGAGGTTTCTCAATGATAGCTAATATACAATGAAAACAACCAAAGATAGAACATTTGTGTTGGTTGATAACCTGTAGAAATCTCATTTGCTGTTGGAAGGTGAAAGCGAGGACTTCGTCAAAATGCATGCCATCTCAATTGCATCAAAAGAGGGATTTTTAGCCAAAATGGGTGTCCCAAAGTGGCCAGAGAAAGATGAGTATGAATCTCGTGGGGTATTCTCATTGATATCCCAAAATATTTGTGAGCTTCCTTGTGTCTTGAACTCTGCCTCTTGGTATTGTTATGCGACTTCAATCGTAAACCATGTGGTGTATTCTCATTGATATCCCAAAACATATGTGAGCTTCCCTGTGTCCAGAACTACGCACATTGTCATTGTTATGCGACCTCAATCGTAAACCACAAATTCCATATAGCTTTTTTTAAAGGGACGGAAAAGCTTGAAGTTTTAGATTTGGGTGGTGTGCGACTGCCATCATCACCTCTAAATCTGATCAACCTTCAAATGTTGGGTCCCTATTATTGTGGGCAGGTGAACTTGGTTTTTCCAAGGAGCTAAGAAATCTTGAGGTACTAAGTGTTTATGATTCTATTCTCAAAGAGGTGGCTCTGGAAATAGGACAGTTGAGGAATTGTACTTTTTCATATGAATGTCGGCGGTGGACTGAAGAAGGGAATAATGCCAGGCTGATGAACTTAATTTATAGACACGCCTAACCACTTTTTCCTCATAAAAAAGCACCACTTTTTCCTCATAAAAAAGCTTATCTTTTTCAGCTTGTTTGGCGATTTCTTCCGCCATCCTCGTCTTTCCAACACCTGCCATTCCATGTATCCCGATTTTGTAATTCCTATCATCTCTCAACGCATCTGTTTATGAACCGATTCTTTGGATCCGAAATGCTCAAATGTTATGGTAGATGTGTACCAAATATCAACCAGAGGAGCAGGGTGTCCAACTATATCGAACTTTTTGTCAGCCTCTATTAGCCTAGAAACATCAGACAATAACTCTCTACCTTCCTGACCAAGCTGATGCCTTGGAAGTTCGCTCTCCTTGATTGTTCTCCTGATTCTTTTTCCTTCAGAAGGACCCAGTTGGTTGGTGGTTGATAATCTTTGATTGATCTCCTTGTTTTGATGTTTTTTTTACTCAATCATGTATAAGATGGTGACATTTATGAAGTTCTTGATTGATTGTCTTAGCTATATGCATGCTCTCTGTTATTCTCTCTTTTACTCGTTCCCCCTTTTCTCTTTCTTACCACGAAGATTGACCAAAAGTATACTTTTGGAATTGCTATGGGAGTCCTAGACAAAATAGAAAATTTGAATTCTATTAAATATATAAGAAAGATAAGAATAATAATTTGCCTATCTACATTTGATCGGTTGCACTCAGGCTTCAGGTTCAATTTCTCAAAGAAGTCTAGTGACGCCAAATTCTGATCTGTAGGGTCTAACAATTGAAGTATCGGTCGTTTGATTTTGGGTTTATGACCCTACTTCGATTGAAAGGTCAATTGCTTCGATTGGATGTATCTTAATCATAGGTAAAGACAAGAGAACCACTAAAAAGGCGATGCAATATCCATGTACGATACTTCCTGCAAAACTTCCCCTAGAAATTACTTCACATGGCGTTGGAAGTGGCCCCTAAAAGGAAAGAAAGTAAATGCTCCTTTTTTAGCATAGAAATCAGTCTCACTTAGCATCCTAGGGTCAGTGCTTCATTCCTTTTATCACCTATGCAAATTGAAGCATCACCTTCCACTAATAAACTTTTCATTCCCATACTGTAAGCATCACATTGACTCCTGAAACAATGGCAAGATCTGAGTTCGGTACCAAAATCTAAATAGTCCAATCCAAAGAATTTATCAAGCCTTTAAGTAATCCCTGTGAACCCAAAATATGTGGAAATTTCTTGACGTTAAACGATTACAATCTCATAGCTTATTGTACACTGGTACATTATGCATAAACATCAGTGTCAAGATGCGTGAGAAAGAATTCGGTAGTGGTACGTGTTAATATATGCTGCACACTTCCATCACTTATACTTTTAAGTGTTATATGAAGATCCATCGGTATGCCACTGAAGATATTACCTCATTTGGGAGCTTGATGAAAACTTAGTTCAATATTTCAAACAGCATGATTTACAGAAATGAAACAAAAAAACATGAAAAGCCTGATGTCAATATTTTTTTTATAATAATAACATCACCTACCAAAAAATAAAAAATTGCATAGCAGCATTTATCTCACTTTTAAAAACAATACATGGAAATAAATTTTCTTATTAAGCAACTAATGATATTCTTTCTGGGTGGTTGTATGCTATTTATGATTCATCAGTATGAAGGTGTACAAGAAAGAGTTCTATACACTGGGAAATATTTGCTGCACAACTGTACAACTGTGTACAGTTAAACCATGACATGTTTGTTCTTTCATAAATACTTGCTGGAAATTTGGTTTGAGTTTTCTTTGATGATAAGATGATGAAGCTAGCTAACCATCCAAAATCCAATTAGATCATCCTAATGTGAGATTACGTCAAAAATTCAAAATGTTTCAACCAGGAAGCAACATGTGGGTATTCCAGAAATGTTTTTTTTTTTTTTTTTTTTTTTTTTTTCTGCTATAGAGTCTTGAGGCTTGACAAAAAGTCATGTAGTTGTGTGTTAATAATGCTGGAAAAAAAATTATGTAGTTTTATGTTAGCAGTGGTGAAAATTTTCCATGTTTAAATGATTGCAGGATGAAATAACTTTACTTTGTCTTGTTAAAGCTATATTAACAGCAATCAACTAGTGGTAATAAATCCACTTACTTTAGTCTACAAGTAATGATTTTGATTCTCAAGTGGCACTTGCGTCATTTTACTTCTTGCATTCCTTTGCAGTGTCTTGTTTCATAAACTATTTGGTTTATAAAGGTTTGATGCATCAAAATTTCTGTACTGATAAAGATCCCACACAGAGTTCCTTATAATATATAAATCTCTAGCTCTCTTTCTTTACTGTTGTGTTTAAGAGGGTTGCATGGAATAAAAACATCAGTTTCATGATTGAAGTTGGTTCTTTAATAAATAGGGGCTTGTGACCTATCTAATTGTGAATTGTTTAAAGAACAATTGTCGGTTTTGAATACTGGTTATGAAATTTAGTAGTTTGAGGACATCATATATCTTTGGAATCAGTACAATTCTTTCCCAAGAGTCGAACAGGATTTGTCCAATGCTAAGTGTAATTTGTCACCTTAATACAGTCAGAATGGCAAGTTCAGCTATGATTATGCAAGCTCTCCTTGGAAAAGGTCTTCAATGGAGGATTTCTTCGAGACAAGAGTTGATGGCGTGGATGGGGAGATGGTGTCTTTGGAGTCTTTGATGGTACCAGTCTTTTCAATCTCTCTCTCTTGTTTACCGTTATCGACAAACAGTAGGATCATGTTCACAGAATATTAATATTTTCGCATGGATTTATGCATCATCAACACTTCCTCATTGAAAAGTTTTGTAAGCATATTCATCACTCATTTAATTTTTTGACATTTTCTTTTTTTCAATCTCTTCTATTGAGTTCTTTGATAGTACTCATTTTGCTTTATCCTTGAGAAGTAAGGCCTTAGGTATCCCTAGATGAAAGATTAGTCTCTTTTTAAATCCTCATGTACCTCCATTTGGTTTTAAAATTTTCATGGTTCAGCAATATATGAAATGAGAGATATTTCATATGTATGCTCAATCCATTGCTTGCCTCTTGTCATGCTCTGCATTTTTCTGTTCTTCAGTTGTTTCAGGTCATGGAGGTGCTCGAGCTGCGAAATATGTAAAGCAAAATCTTTTCAGTAAGCTGATCAGACATCCAAAGTTCATTTCTGATACCAAATCAACCATATGTTTATCTCATCTTAACTATACAATTTCTTGATGTTGTACAAAATTATTATTTTTTATATTATTAATTATTTCATGAGTTTTTTTGCTGATTTCTTCATTATTTCATGGTTTTTCACATATTTCTCCGTCATTACAGCTGATGCATACCACTATACAGATTCAGAATGTCTGACATCAGAAAGTAATCAGAACAGAGATGCTGGATCAACTGCTTCCACTGCCATCCTTCTTGGTGATCTTATGCCGGATGCAAATGTTGGGGATCAGAGCTGTTATTTGCAGGGGGGGGGGCAATGGTAAGACTCATAAGTTTTATTTATTTATTTATATTTAATCATTTTATTTTTCCTATTTGAAACTCACGCACGCACTTTGCTCCTATGGGACTTGAACCCTCGACTTTCTACTTTGGAAGGTGGGGAAGTACCACTAGGCTACAGCCCTTGGTGGTCATTTGATCCTTTTGTTTTTGTCTTTCCTTGTCTTGATATTAATAGCACATTGACAATTTATGTTCTCCTTTATGCCAGGAGATTGTTTTATTTCCATATTTGCTATTGGTAGTTGTTCTGCTTGGGTAACATCCAGCCTTGTCCAACTTATGGAACATCAATTCTTCAAAAAGTTCTGAATTGTTTGTTTTGTAGTCTTTGTCCTAATAGTCATTTAGGTTTACAATGTGCCTTTCTTCTGTTTGATTTAATGTTCTCATAAATCCACTTATAAATATCCAAGTAAAGAAATGCCCTTGTAATTTTATACTAGAAGTTTTCTAATGCGCAATTGTCACCACTATCTGCTGTACTGTTTATTATTTGATTATACTTTTTGTTTATGGTCCATTTGATAGGAGAGAAGAGTGGAAGGAAGGAAAGGGGAAGAGGAGAGGGAAGGATGAGTAAGATTTCCATTGTATGGTAGGAGGAAAAAGGAAGGGAAGATAACAGAAAGACAAGAGGCGGCCTCTCTCTCTAAGCCCACCGCATCTCTTTCACACAAAAGTGGGTGGAAAGGAGTTTAAGTGCTTCCCTCTATTTTATTTGATGGGGTCAACTGAAACAGTTCAGTAACAATCAAAAATATACTAATTCATAGGATTCTCTTGATGTAACGGACCCCGGCACGCGCGGGGGTTGGGGGGCCTTAGGGATATTTTTCTGCCCTTTAAACTAAACTTAATTTACCAATTAATTATAACATTTGATACTTGTGAAAATATTAGTTTGCAATTCAACTCCATTTCACAAATATATACTAAGCAGTAAATAAAAAAAGTATAGTAAATGAGAGATGCACAAATTTACATGGAAAACCCTAAAAAGAGAGTAAAAAAATCACTGTCCCTCGTCAGGTCAAGAACAATCCACTATAGAGAAAGATGTACAATCAGGTAATAGTTCTGTACTGTCGAATTCCTTACTGATATCTAGACATACTAGAATACCAAATCTTTAGTCCTTTAACGATCTCCAGGTCATTCTTCTGATCCATTCGACAACATCCAATCCCCACGAACTTGCTTCTTTATTGATTGTTCGCCTCTCAGTGCTCTATTACGTCGGTTGATTGTTGCAAACGGATTTCTCAATCTCTTTGATGTGTATTCAGCATGAAAGATTCTCTCTCTTCTCTACTCTCTATCTAACCTAAACCCATTTTATAGTCAACAGGAGTTCTATCAATCGATCTAAAAAAGTTTTGATCTATCGAACCTTACTGAATTCAGGTTCTGACTCCAATTTTCATAAAAACACATTCTTAGCTTAGTTTTGAAAAGCCAATTAACTTTAAAACATTTTCAAAACATGTTAAGACCCTATTCAAGTGATTGAATATCCATCTTTCTTGCAAGTTGTGCCTGTCATGTCTTCAAGTGATGTTCTTTGTTAACTCAACACTCTGACACTCTATACAAGTATGCTTTGATGTGGAATATGCCAACAAATGACTCAATTTCCTAACATTATTTTGTATTTTCAAAATCATTCCTAAATTGTTAGGTTATAGTGGTAAAATTGTGAAACACTCATTCCCTTCATCCTTTCCTTCCTACTCAGCCAACAAATGGATGGAAGGACCCCTTCTTTTTCCTAGGGATACCTTCTCTATTCCTCTTACCTTTCACCCCTCAAGGATTCCATCCCATTGTATGAAATAGAGCATTATTGAGATTTATTTTATGTATACTAGACGTAAGTGGTTATGTTATGCCATAATAAATATGCGAATGGAAAAATCAATACCACTGCAGACATAACATGCCTTCTCCACTATTCTATGTTGCATACAGCCTTTGTTT